CGATCAATAATTATTAAGCTGCTGAGAGCGATGCTGAGTACGTTAGTGGGAGACCATAATGGAAACCATCGTGCTGTAGACTCTTCTTTTTTTGCTAATAAAACTTACTAAAGATGCTTCGTTTGAATGATGTGAGAGAAATTTTTTTGTGGATGATGATTTTCGCAGCAAAACGCATTGAGAGTAAAACCGCGCGATGAGGTTCCCAATTTCACTTGGTGCAGTTTTGCCAGAGTACATTGAAGGTCCCTGCTAATGTACAAAGTACTCAGTAATATAAGACAATAAAGTGATCGTTTCGTTTCAAATACAAAATCGGGTGATTGTTCATTCGTATCAAGCTATGTGCAAGTAAATTAGGAATACCAAAACCACACACGCCTCATGGTTTTACAGAATTGTAAATAATCAAACTTGCATTTGGTTTACTATTATGATCAATATCGATATTACGATGATTCAAACTAATAAGAAATCCGCTTTGGTTAACAATTTTGCTGCAATAAAAATATTATTTTGGGCTTTAAAAAGAAAACTGAATTTCTTTATTACTTAGTGTGGAAATAAGAGCTTCCACTGACTATCATACATTATTAGAGAGAGTCGGAGACGGGATTCTTCTATTTGGTTATGCGTCTATATGCAAACGAGTGTTCATTTGTAGAGAAATGTTTGCTTGAATTAATCAATATATATAAGGAAAAGGCTCAGATAACTAGGTGAATAATGAAAACAAAAGCACATTTTCTTCAACACAATCAAATCTTCCCAAACTACTCACATGCATTAATGTACTCTCACAAATGATGAATCATCTCTTGAACTGTTGAATGTCTCTATATCTCGATGCTTTTTTTTTTTTTTAACATATAAGAATTTTTTCTTTTTTTTTACATATAAGAATATATATTTAATCACTATTTACTAATATATACCTAGAGTGGGAAAGACTATGTTTAGTCAAGAAAACTTTTTCTTAAAAGCCCTTTTTTGGCTATTGATTTTCTCTCCCCTTTGAAATACTCACACGCACGTATATCTAGGTGTTGAGAATGACAATATCGCCTCCCGGTGGCCAAGCTGGCTAAGGCGCGAGACTGTAATGGGTTCTCCTCAAAGTAATCTTGAGATCGGGTGTTCGACTCACCCCCGGGAGATTTTTTTCACATAGCCCAATTTCCGGGTTAACTCCTTTTTTTGCCTCCTCTGTTCTTTTTCCCTATCAAAATTACGAAAAACACTATAGGCAATGAGGGAAAACTGTGCGCATGACCGAAACTGCACTACAAATATCTTGTTTTTGTTTAGGGGAAAACGGAATATTCAAAATCTCAAACAAAATGGGCTTCATTCGAAAAAGCTTCCACTTTACTTTTCACTTCTCATCGTCAGACTAGTATCAAAATGGATTCTGAAAAAATCGTTGCCATCATTCTTGGTATGTTATATGTATAGGCAGGTCATATGTGTATATGTGAGCGGGCCAACAAATAAGTCAATATACTAACAAGAAAAACCAGCGCTTTTATTACCCCCATTGGCGGTTTTCATGAGAGAAGGTGCTACTACACCATTATGGATTAATATCGTTTTATGTATATTCATCTGGTTCCCGGCCATCTTACATGCGCTTTACGTTGTTCTCAAATCTTAGAACTGCTACTATATCACACCTATTCTACAATTGTATTAATGTTTGATTTTATTAGATTAATTTTATGTTAGTTTATTTTATTGTTTCTGTAGCAGAAGGCGGGTGTACTGGTCTTTCTATTAATTAATTTTTTGTTATCAATTACATAATCAGGAGACAAAGCTTACGCCTGTATAAATCTAGCCCGTTGGTTATCCATAAACAGTAGTAATGGGCAGGACTTGACAGGATTAGAATAAAGATATGTATTATTGGTTAATTATATGTAGCTTATCTCCTTGGAATTTAAATTAATATATCCCTTTAGTAAGGAAATAATAGGATAAGCAATAAGAAAATAATTTAATTACTGTTAAAAAGACAATGAAAGATGTTTATTGTTTGATCTGCTGTTATTTCATTTGGTTATTTCATATATATCTTATTAATTTACTTCTTTTTCACTTATTTTTTTATTCGTTTTATTATGGATAAGATGGATTCATTACCGCCATTTCTGTTTAGTAAGAGACCAATAAAACAGTGTCCGAGTAGTTCGCATAGTGCCATTTCGGATATAATTCCCAATAATTCCAAGTCTACATCCCTAACCAACGGGCTCTCCACCACTGGCAATAATATAGGGAAAAAGAATTTCTCTCATAATGTTGACTATGATGAACAAATCAGAGCACCAAGGATGTCACAAATCAGTTTGACTAGTTATGATAAGAGAAATAGTTATGATAAAAGAAGTAGTCTTGGTAAGGATAGTTTAAATTCTACTGAGACCACCGCAACTAGTATTAGTAATTCACCAAAAGAAGATAAAGTTTATTTACCGGCCAAATTTGATTTATCCCAGCCAACCCGCAGATTTAGTACTTGTTCTAAAAACAGTGTTAGTGATGATATATTAAGTTATACCACTGATAATTATATTTATGAACGAAATAAGGTTATTGAACCAAGGGCTTCAGAAGTAGGGTCAGAAGTTGCTCAAACCCAACAAGAATTATTAAAAGCATTAGAGAATTTAAATAATAACGTTACTAGTCAAGAACGAGAAGGAAATCGAATTAAAAATCGAATTCAACCTAATCAAAGACACTATATTGATTTAAATGGATCTAATTTAAAACAAGTTTATGAATTGAAAAAACCTTTAATTATTCCTGCGGTTTTAAGACCCACCATTTCAAATGACGATTGCTTAACTCCTTCTCCTTCTTCAAATGAAGATTTGGATTCCCCCACTGGTATGAAGATTAAAGCATTCCCCCTTCCCAGAATCGGTAGTTCTTTGGAAACGTCTACAATCACCACCAGTTCTTGCGAGCTAATCGAACCCACTCACCAACATTGGAAACCTAATTCATTCACCAATCATTGCATGAAATGTTTGGGTACTTTCAATAATTTTTTCCATCCTCAGAGGAAAAGAAGACACCATTGTAGGTTCTGTGGTTATATTTTCTGTAATGATTGTTTATATAAATCGGTGCTTGATCCTCCTTCTGATCAAGATGATGATTATATTAGTGGGGTTATGATGGATTCAATGGCTAGATTGGTTATACCAATTTTTAAATTGATTAAAAATGAAGAATATAATCGATTCAAATTTTGTAAAATTTGTAAAGATTGTGGTGGTAATTATTCCCTTCTTCTAAATCATTTAAATGCTTTAAATGAAATATCTTCCATCTACTTTATTGAAAATCCATACTTGAAAAAATTTTTGCAACAACAACAAGAAGAACAACAACTGCAACTGCAAAAACAACAAAAACAACTTTCTCCAAAACCAGACATAGACAGAAGACACTCTTCTATTGGACAGGTTCCCAATGACTGGACTTGGAGCTCCTTTTAATTCTTCGGTGTATACTTTAATAGACTTTATCCTATCTAGTTTGTAGAGATATTGAGTGGTGCACGGCTTTCGTGCCAGACAAATTTTATATGGGATCAATAGAAAAACAATAACAAAAACAAAGCCTATTTTTCGACTAATACTTTTTTGACTGGCGGTTAACTATCACTTTTTTTTTTTCTCTTTGTCACTTTCTTCTTCTTCTTCTTCTTACAACACATCACCATTAGGGTTTATTCGTTTAACCTCATCTTTGAAACGTATACTACATTCACGCTCGTTTAATTTATATCATCGTTCCTGTCGATTATTAAGTGACAGAAGAAAGAAAAAAAAAAAAAAGAGAGATGTATCATCAACCAAATCATTCTTTTGATTCTGCAAGACGATTATCCTCTAATAATCCCTTCAGACATATGCAACAAGCCAATAACCTACCCCCTGTCAGACCAGGTAATGTCAGAAATCATTCGGGCTCTCTGAATGTGCTGACTAACTCCCAGGCTTTTGAAGATTGGGTAGAACGTAATAAAGTTTTGATTGATATGAGTGATGATGAAATCGATTCTAATCATGATTATAAAAAACCAGAATTTCCTCCAAAACCAATTCGTGCAGGAAGTGACTCTAGTGTTAACTACAGTGATCGGTATGTATATTTTTGATTAAGTGATTTGTGATTGAACGGTGAGTGATTGAATGGTGAGTGATTGAATGGTGAGTGATTGAATGGTGAGTGATTGAATATTGGTTGTTGATTGATGTGTTGTTGATTGATGTGTTATCGATGACTGATACCCATCAGTATTACCCATCATGTCAGGGTAATTGTTACACATCACATCACATCGATATTACACATCATCGGCACCCAAACACCACGAAATGTCTTTTTCAGCAGCGCGTCGTTAACAGAAATTAAGTGGGGGTCTATTTTTTTTTCGTTTTGTTAGTGGGTTGTGTTGACTCCTGCATAATGACTTTCTGTGCTTTTTCTCAACATTGTTCTCTCTATTACTTCTGGCGAACTAGATGGCTCATCCCATCGTCGATGAACACAAACAGTTTATCGTTTTATCTGATAGGGCTGAGTGGGCTGGCATTGGCATCGACATTGGCATTCCCACAATCTCCACCACCGTTAAACACCGTCTTTTGTTTTGGGTTTTTGGCTAGACGTTGGCCTTGCTTGTTATAGGCTGTACTCCCTTTCCGCTTGCCTCGCCTCTTACCTGGTGATTCTTTTTCTTTTTCTTTTTCTTTTTCTCTTTTTTTCTCTTTTTTTTTTTTCTTTGTCTACGCGATACTCGGAGGTTTCTATCTAATTTTTCCTGTTTCTACTGGGTCCCCATACAATTGCTACACCACTAATTGTTTCCGTTTTTTTTTTCGTCCTCCTTTGCCAAACCTATCAAGTTCAAGATTCATTTCGTGTGACTTATCTATCATTCCTGATTAACTTCTCTTTTGGCTTTCTTATTTGGCTTTCTTATTTGGCTTTCTTATTTGGCTTTCTTATCTAACTTTTCCTCTTGGACTTTTTTTTGCTCTGATCCTGTTTGGTTGTCCATTTCACTGAAATTAGTGGTATCATTCAGTTTTATCGCAAACTTGCCCCATACGCTTTCCTGACATTGGGTCTTTTTACTTTGTTCTTTTTTATTTTATTTTATTTTATTTTTTTTTTGTTTGCCTGTCGTTTCTGCACTTTTGCACTTTTTTGCCTGCTGCTGTTTTGTCAACACAAAAGACAATTAAACCACATCCATAGTTGAAACAAACGATCACTTTTTTGTCAGTCCTTGCCTTAACGCCAAATTTCGTTACTGCTTTATTCAATAATCTCTTCACCAACCTCCTCCTTCCCCGTCTACTTTATTATCTACTCTGCTGTCTACTTCTCTTTCTTTCGCTCAATCACTTGATTTTTTTTCTTAGTACCGCCCCTATACTAACTACTTGTTATAGAAAAATGTCTTCAAATAATCCATTCGCTGCTGCGTTAAATGAACCTAACTCTTATGTTCATCGTCGCGATCCTCCTCCTCCTCCAGTATCAAGAGCTTATAACCAATCTTCGGCAACTCCCCCAGCTCGTCCTCCAAAACCAGAAAATTCCTCTTCATCATCAATTCCTCCTCCTTCTTATGAAGAAGCCGCTGGACCTGAGAAGATTAAAAGCGACTATCCCAGAGAAAAATCTTCGTCGTCGTCGTCCTCTCGTTATAACTCCTCTAAACCTCATCGTTCTCATTCTGACTCTTCAAGACCACATCGTTCTCATAGATCCAGTGATGAAAGACGCAGAGATCGTGATGATAGAGATCGTGATAGAGAAAGACGTCATAGATCTTCCAAAAACAGATCTCCTTCTAGGAAGAAACCTGAACCGGTAAAGGCTAAAAATTTGGATACCATTGATAAATTAGACGTTACTGCCTTTTTCGGTGGCGGGTTCCATCATGATGGTCCATTTGATGCTTGTACTCCTCATCGTAACAAAAATCAAAAACAAGCCCCTGTTATGGCTTTCCCAGCTGATGGTCCAAATAATTCTATAAAAGGTTTGGCTCCAAATGTTAATGATGATGAAAGAATGAACTTGGCTTTTGGTAATTATGATGATAATGATCATAATCAAATTGTTGGTAGAACTGGGTCAGTTAAAAAGAAGGTGGTTACTCCTCCTTCAAGTTCTCATCCAATTAATGATGCAATTGATGGTACTGATGCTAGTCCCTTGATTAAAACAAATAAAGCAAGTGCTGATCCTTCAACTACTTTATACACTCCTAAACAAAATCCTTCAGTAATTAATTTTGATCCTAATGTTAATTCAGAACCAATCCACGGTTCTACTACTGCTGGATTAGGATCTTCGACTTTCCTTGATGGTGCTCCAGCTCCAAGAGTTCAAAATGAAGATTTCCTCTCCGTTGGTAATGGTGGAAACGCCGGTGGTTTAGGACGTAAGAAATCCTTGGTTCAAAGATTACGTAAAAATAGTGCAAGTGAACATAGCTCAAGAAGAAATTCTGGTGATACTAACTCTGCTTTATCAACTTCTCCTGATGCCGAATATGGTAGAGCTAGCTTTGGTGATGATCCGGTCGTCGGTAATAATGGAGGTAATTCTTTATTAAAAAGAGTCAAGAGTTTGAAAGTTGGAGGTAAAAGAGGATAAACGATGTAAATTATCATTAAGAATCAAATAAAAAAAAAAAAAAATTAAAAATGAAAAAAAAAACTAAAAATACCTTCAACCTTATTAACGTGTGACGTCTTCCTTTTTGTTATTTCTCCATTCACCTAAATATCCCTGTCCGTGTGCTTTCGAGAATTTGTGTTATTAAAAATATATAATCTACAATACCACTTCAAATCACTTGTCTTGATTTTCTATTTTCTTCAGTTCTTCCATTTGATAGCCCCTTTATTGGTGTTTTTATTTTAACCTTTCCGGCCATTCCTCAATTCTTTCGTGTTTGTTTTATTCATCTCTGATAAATTGGTTTCAACTTTATCATTAATCGTTTTATTAGGTCTCCTTGTTTGATACTGATAGATGTGCATTTAATATAATGTTAATTATTTCTTGCTTGTTATAAAATCTATTAGGCTACCAATTCCAATTACAGCTTTCAAGCTTTTTTTTTGTTTAATATTCACTACTCTGCTTTGTCAGCACTTTGTATGCTACTTATATCACTTATTCCTTTTATTTTTATTTTTTGTTCTTCCTTCTTGATTGCTTATTAACATTCAACTAAGACTTTGTATACCCTTTAGACTTGTAAGACGATCGAATAGCTGTTAAAAGTAGTTAAGAAAAGGTCGTGTGTGTGTACTGTTTTCCAGCGACCGAAAAAAAAAATGCAATGGACTAAATCAACCAAATTTTTCAAATATCAAAAGCTACTTTTGTTCACTTTACTTGTTTCAAAGCTTGGGAACTATGTACAGACTAGTTAGCGGTAATAGCAGGGTTGTGAAAAAGACCTTGAGTCCTCTTCTTTCGGCCAACCGTTATGCTTCATACAATTTACCTTCCATTCCTCATTTAGATAGTTTAAGATACAGTAAGGAAGATTTCCATGGAGTTTACACCAATAAAGCCATAAATGAATTATGGTTTAAAAGAGGACAACAATTGACCGATGGCTTAAACCAACTATTAGAAGAAAATGGTATTAATGATCCACCAGCTGACTTGAACGCTTTGATTACTTTGACTTTTAATAAGCCTGAATTATATGGTGTTTATTCATACGCTTCGTTATTACATAATTTACAATTCACATTAGAAAGTTTAAAGCCCTTAGATGAATCAACTAGCTCAAATAAGATTAGAAAATGTCATCCAAATGACTTATTGAGAACACCAAATGCTTATGAAAAAATTAATAATGAACCATTAAGTCCAGAATTGAGAAATTGGATTGATGAATCATTCGGATCTATCGAAGAGTTTAAGACTTTATTTTTAAATTCTGCTAAAGCTATTAAGGGTGATGGCTTAACCTGGTTGGTTGCTAGAGCCGTTAGACGTGATACTGACTCCAGTCCAAACCAAGAATATGATGAATTAGCTGTTATGAATACCTATAACGCAGGTATTGTGGATGATGCATTGAGATCTGGTCAAATCACTAAATTGAAAGAAGAAAAGAAGTATAAGTTAGCAGCTTTGAAAAAGAAACATGAAGAAAGGCAAAAAATTAAAGAAGAAAATGGTGAAATTGATTCTGAAAATATTGAAGAGTTTAATAACGAATTAAATGCTTCGTTTGAATCAAAATCATCAATTCCAAGTAATTTAATTTTGGGTACTGTTGAAGAAGCTGAAGCTTTAAACTCATTTTCAAAACGTAAATTATTACCAATTTTAGCAATCGATGCTTCTAGTAGAAATTATTTAATAGATTATGGTGTCTTTGGTAAACAACAATATTTAGATAACGTTTGGGATGCTATTGATTGGAATGTTGTAGCTCAAAGATTACCTTCCAAGTTTAAAGCTACTGTTCAATTATAATCAAACTTTTTTCCACTGTATATAGACTTCATTTAATAAAATTTTATTGTAATTAGATTCATATTATAGAACTAAAATGTAAATATATTAACTATACAATTATACAAATATTGGAAAGGTTGGAAGAAAAAAAATTAGATTTAACTCTTAATAACTTTCTTAACAATTTTTTCAACTTCATCCCAATCATCAGTAGGGACTTTAGTCATTTCAATATCACCAAAGTATTTTCTAATTGCCATTAAATCTTGGTATGATTTTTTATCATGGACAAAAGAAATTGAAACACCTAATCTACCAAATCTACCAGTTCTACCAATTCTATGCAAGTATGTTGAAGGGTCTGGTTTATTACTTTCATCAACTGGTAAATCATAATTCACAACCATTGAAACCGAAGCAATATCAATACCTCTAGCTAAAACGTTAGTGGTGATTAAAACTTTTGATCTACCTTCACGGAAATCATCAATTAATTTATCTCTAGCAGTAGTTTCCAAACCACCATGTAAAACACTAACTGTATGACCTTCTTGTTTCATTCTACCATATAATTTATTAGCCGTATCTTTAGTTTTAACAAAAATAATGGAAGAACCAATAGTTAATAAACTATATAATTCACATAAAACTTCGAATTTATGATTTACAGAATCACAATCCATATATAATTGTTTAATACCATCAACATTTAATTCTTCTTGTTTTAATTCTAAAGAATTGGCATTAGGGACAAATTTTTCAGCATAAGCACGAACTCTGTCTGGGAAAGTAGCTGAAAATAAAACTAATTGACAATCTTTTGGTAATGCCCTTTTAACTCTTAAACATTGATCACCTAAGTTTTGAGCATCTAACATATTATCCGCTTCATCTAAAACGAAAACTTTAAGTTTGCTTAAATCAACTTTTTTTTTTCTCTGTAAATCTAATAAAGTACCTGGAGTACCAACTAAGATTTGAGAAGTAACTTCTTGACCTTTTTCAGTCGAATTTGGAACAATTAATTGACTTGTTATTTTAGTAAATTTACCCATAGTTTGAACAACGTCTAAAGTTTGTCTGGCCAATTCTCTTGCTGGAGCAAGACAAACTGCCTGAACTGCATCAAGCGTTTCATCGACTCTTGATAACATAGTCAATGAAAAGGCAGCGGTTTTACCAGTACCAGATTGAGATTGACCAATCATATTTCTAGCAGGATTGGATAATAATAAAGGTAATGCTTTTTCTTGAATCTTAGAAGGTCTATTAAACTTCATGGCGTAAAGACCATCTAATAATTCAGGCTTTAATCCTAACTCTTTGAAAGAGTTAACTGAGTATAAAGGAGAGTTTGGATCAGCTTGTAAATCAGCTAATTTAACCTTGACTTCATAAGAAGATTTAATCAAGTTTGATTCCTCTTCTTTTTCCTTTGACTCGTCTTCCTTAGACTCTTTTTTGGCTTCTTCTTTGGCTTCTTCCTTGACTTCTTTCTTTGGTTCTTCCTTGACTTCTTTCTTTGGTTCTTCCTTGACTTCCTCCTTCTTTGGTTCTTCTGTTGCTTCCTTCTTTGATCCAGATTCCTCTATCTTCGAGTCATCTTTGTTTATAGATAATGACTTGAGAAGCTCAGAAGCATCTGTATCAACTCTTTTCTCGGGAGCAGACATATTCAGTTTGTTTGGTAATGATTTAGTTGGTCAGACCGTTCAACCCAAACTTTTCAACATGTTTTGGAATTTCTTTGAACTTTTTTTTTCCTAGTATGTGGCTATATGCAGGTATTGATATATATATATATATATATTCCATCACGTGACTGATTTTAATAGCCAGAAGTGAAAATTTCAACATAAACCCTACAAACGACATAAGCTCGAAAGGTAACGGACTTGGGCTTGGTGTTTTTGTTTAGTTCAAGTGCTTTTTCCATGTAATGGTCCTCAAAGTTCTGCGCAGGTATCCGCGAAGGTATCTGTGCAAGCATTAGCATTTTTTTGCATCTAAAATGAATCCACGGTAGCCGTGCCCTTTGTGACAATTCGATTATGTTTAATCTTCAGTGGAATTGGTGAAGCGTCTCCTAATACGGTCACGGGTACTGGCTGTTGAAAGGTTTAATTTATGGAGAAATGGCATTTTGGTAACTTCCGGGCTCCGACACGGGAGGAGCAAAGTTGAATTTCGATATTGGGCCAGTCAATCGTTTCAATCGTATCTTGATCTGTTTCTGTAGTGGAGCTGCTAGTCTCGTTCAAATTTGTAATCGAGAAGGGTAAATATTAATTACAGCATTCGATTCTGGCTCTCTTTTTCGGTGATGTTTATAAAACGGTATACCCGGGCGGCTTTAAGACAGCTGTCGGAAGTTAACTATTTTTTTAACTTCCGAAAAATTTTATGGCTACGGCTGCAAACTATATAAATACATAAAAGGAGCTAGTGGAAAGTATAAGATTGAATGTTTTTGAGTAGATACTGCTTTTGAATGAGCATGACTGGATTAACTCACTTTGTTGTTGTTGGAGGCTCTTATGCCGGTATCAATTCTGCTAGGGCAATTTTTGCTGAAGCGGAGGCTGCAAAAACACCCATCAAGTTAACTTTGGTATCGGCTTCAACTCATAGTTATTACAATATTGCTACCCCTCGATATTTGGTCGAGCCTGATTTGTTAAATGAGAAAATTACTTTTGACGTTGAAAAGTCTTTGAGGAAGCATGCTGGGATAAATGAATTTGAATTTATTTATGCTACGGTGAAGGAAGCTGATTTTGATTTAAAAACCGTTAAATATTCCAAGTCAAACGATGATGTGACTGATTTATTATCTTATGACTATTTGGTATTGGCTAGTGGTTGTCGTTACAGCAACAAGGCTTTTAAATTAAATGATAGTCACGAGAATACTCTTCGTGAAGTCTTGAGACTATCCAAATCAATCAAGTCCGCTACAAACGTTGCAGTGATTGGCGGTGGTGCAACTGGGGTCGAAACTGCCGGTGAAATTGCTTCTGCTTATCCCGATAAAAAAATTCATCTTTATTGTGGTTCAGGAATTCTTCAACATTTGGGGGAAAGAGTATCCAGAGAAGCTAAAAGTCAATTGGAAGAACTTAATGTTAACATTATTCCTAACATCTACTATACTGGTATTGAAACCTTATCCGATGGGAAGCAAAAAGTTATTTTCAACAACGATACTTCCAAAATTTTTGATGAAGTGATTACTGCAACTGCAAATATCCCGAATACAGAGTTTATTCCTGATCGTTTTAAAAATGCAAAAGGTTATGTGAAAACCAATGAGTTTCTTGCATTGGAGAAATATGAGAACGTTCTTGCTATTGGTGATGTTGCGGATAAAAGTAGTGGTAATGCTGTTGATATATTGTATTATCATTTGCCGGTTTTGAAAAAATATATTCAAAAAAATGTATTCAAAAAAAACGTCATTATAACTCCGGTTAAATCTCATGCACCAATTGAGATTGTACCCATTTCAAGGAAAGGTGGTGTTGGTGTTGCTTGGGGTTGGTCCTTGCCAAATTTTGTCATTTGGCTTTTGAGATCCAGAAATTATGGTATACCCGCAGCAGGTAAGTTCTTATAGTAGTCATTCATATGTGGCGTATCTGGCGTATATTCATTATTAAGTATTTTTCTTTATTATATAGAGATAAAATACATGAATTAATTCTCTTATAGTAGTCATTCATATGTGACGTATATGGCGTATATTCATTATTAAGTATTTTTCTTTATTATATAGAGATAAAATACATGAATTAATTTTTGAAAATTAATTTTTAGAATTGAAATTATAATCAGGAAACAAAGATCCCCAATCCTCGTTAAATAAATCAGATGTCATCAACACCGGTGGACCACCAAAGAACTCTAAATTATCATCAAATAGCAATTCGGTATTAGTCTCGGTAATATCTTTATTATCCACCTGGCTACCATTACTAGCAATAGATTGGCCTGGGCTGTCTGTTGAAGCAGATGCTTGTTCATTTGATATTCTATTATAATCTTGATTTGTTATTGACGTTGGATCATTGAGAGGAGAGGTAGATACATTACTACTCGGATCATTTGTAAGTGGATTTGATGGACTGGGTAAGAAATTATGATCATTTATTGGATCTGGTAAAGTAAGGTTATTAATATTAGGTTGAATTTGACTTTTAACTTTATTAACTTTTGATAAGGAAGGCTTTCTGGGTTTAGTGATTTTTTTGGGGGTTTTTTCTTTCTTTTTAATGATCTTACCATTGATATTTAAATTAACTTCAGAATCATAACTATTTTGTAATTTTAACCTAATTAAGTTATAAGATTTTTCTGCTAATTTCCAAGTTCTTGAACAACCATTCAAGATATCCAAAAAAAATTCTAATCTTTCCTTATTCTGTAAACTTAAGTCAGGACTTGAATTAGTTAATAAAATAACTGATATTGATAAGATACAACAATAAACAATGAAAACAGAAGCTCTTCTTAAACCATGAACATTTTTAAATCTCTCTAAAGCCACTAATAAGTCTTCAATAGTTTCATTACAGATATAACTGGGAGACGAATGTTTGTTATGTTCAAAGTCTCTCTTTATACCCACAAAGGGTCTATTTAAACATAATACCAAAATATAATAATAATATTTGACACAAGAAAGAGTTGGATTATCACCCATAAATTTTAATTTTTCACGATCCCAATTCAAATCCTTTGGTAAATTTTTCTTCCAACTTCTAATTTGAGAATTATAACTGATTAATTTTTCCAACCTTGAAGTTAAATTCAAATCTTCAATATTGTGATTTTCATCAATGTGATCGTTTTCGGTTTTAGTGAAAATATCATTCAATATATTATCAGATATGTTTATTAAATTTATAACGCTTTTCAAAGGATCTGAGATATTTGAATTTCTGAAACCATCTTTGTTTCTAGCTTCATTAGGACCAATAAATCTAAATTCATCTATCCATTCTAAATCGGGTAAATTATTTGTTTCCGGGATTGAAGCATCAGACATTTTTAATAATGAAGGTCTTCCTAAAACCAAACTAATAAAATGATCTGCCATATAAGACCCCCAATAGATTCTGCTTCTTATAGCCATATCTAAAGGATTTGATTGATGCTGATCTTTTAAAAACCAAACTTGAGGATTTAATTGAAAACCCAAATCAAATCCCATTCTCATTGCATTACCAGATAACATCCAACCAGAGGAGTTTGAACCATTACAAATATCATAGAATGCTAACAATAAGAAACTTTGTAATGAAGGAATTGAAGGATGATCTAATTTTGATAATAGTGAACTTCTTGCCTCATTATAAAAGTGAATTGATCTATTATAAATTGCATCACTATCGGACATTCTTGATCCTAATGCACAGATACTTAAAACCAAAACTCTTGAACAATATTGACTATTCGGTTTTGGATCTAAAAAATCGGTTAAAAACGATTCACGAAATATGAACATATTATGATCAGGGTACTGCCATTTGAAAAATAATTTAACACAATGTAGAATATCTGGATCTTTATTCAAATTATTAATAGAAGATTCACTTTTACGTTTATTGAATGATGTAGGTTTTTTCTCAGCCAAACCAGTATCATAAACACTAGTTGGGCCATAAAATGGTTTAATATTTGTATCAGCAACATGATCCTGAGAGTGATTTGATTTAGAAGATGAGTTAACTTTGAAATTAAAACTTTCACTAGTATCTTCTTTTGAAAGGAAACTTTCAATATCATTTTCATCTAAATACTTTGATTTTTCTTCCACCGAAGGAATTTTTTTAAAATTCTCAAAAAATTGAGTTAGGTTATTGATCTTCTTCTCTAAGCTAGTTACGTAGTTAGCAGGAGGTCTTTTCTTTCTCATATCATTAGTAATTCTAACGCAGTCAGCACCAATTTTTTGACATGAATAACAAGGGTGTTTACCATCGCATCTAACTTTCCGAACTCTACATCTTTGACAACTTAGATTTCTTATAGTTTTCGGAGGTGGTGATTCATTTTCACTGGTCAATTGGTTAACTGGTTCACTGTCTTGATTGGTTAATTGTTGAATCGAGATTTGTTGATTAGTTATTGGAAATGATAAAGGAAAACTTGGTTCGGACTTTACCTCGGGGCCATTTACTGGCTTATTTTCGTTTAAAGTAGAACTAATGGATGTCTTCTGCTTCTTGTGTGGTACCAGCATGTGTCCAAGAGAGAAGTTTATTGGTATTCAAGAATGAAAGTAGGGTTCTATATAAAACGGCTAAAGAAGACTTTTTTTTACTTCAGTAGGTGATTTTTTTTTTTTTCAGTAGGTGATTTTTTCTGCTTTGCGAGTTTATCTACAAACGAAAGCCGTTTATCTAACGATGTTAGTCATAGTTATTGATAAAGCACTAGAAATGTAAGAGAACGTAAAAAGAACAATGAGATTCAGAATGAGAATCAAAATGAGCGAATCAACGATGTAAGAAGGAATCGGAGATCACAGAAGGGGCAAGAAGTATACGGGAATCAATGATGCGAATATTTAGTTATTGAATAGAATTTGATAAGTGGTATAAACCACTGCTAGGATACCTACTAGGATGAGGATGTAGTCAAATACTTTGAAGAGCTTACCTTGTAAGTCATTTTGGGCTTTCACTTTATAAGTTTTTAGATGAATCAAAGGAGGATAAATGTAAACTAGGGGGATACAAGCAAAACAACCATTTAAACTGACAAATTTATCGATGTTATTTGAATTCAAGTAAGCAATGGTACAAATAAGTATAACGACAATTGATCTAAAGATATTTTTCAACCATTTAACTTTGGGGTTGTACTTACCTGAATTATGATAAAGTTTACCATTATTTTCAGTTTTTGAATTATTGAAGAGGATTGATTCACCTATTTTAATGGCTGGGAATAATTGAAGAGGGGCCGTTAAGAAAACTGCTAGAGAATAAAGAATTAAAATTGATTGAACTGAAAAGTTTGATTGGGGTAAGTTTAAAATGATGATTGATTTAACGTTTTCCCCAAATGCAGTATAACCAATGACACCAATAGCCACGAATAAAGAAGTGATGAATAGCATACTAATCAGCAATACAAAGGGGAATTTCTCAGGGTTGGCCATTGAAGATTCAATTGGTAGTATTAGACCAATACCTTCGAATGAGGTTACTGCGACCCCAATAAGCATTGACCAGGATTTTGAATTGAAATTAACAATGTTGGGACCCAAACCATTTTCAAGTAATTGTAGTCCGGAGAAATAGAAAATGATGATTAAACCAATTAAGATGAATATGGAACTGATTAATGAAGTTAAAGACAATTTAGTTAAATTTCTTATTAGAACAAGGGGGATCAATAAAAAACACTGAAGTAAAACAACGTTTGCAGTATTAATATTATAATTGAATAAGTTTGATAAAAAACTAGTTATATTTGAAGCGGTGAATAAGATATAAGTGGCAACAAACCCAATTTGGGAAATAAGAATTGAAATTAAAATACAAATTTTCAAAGGTTTACCATAAGTGTTAAACCCCAATTCACCAAAGGAGTTAAATCCAAGGATTCTTTTTGATTTGATTAAAGTTAAATAACATAAAAAGGTTAAAAACCCAAAACTAATCAAGGTAATTATTGAAAAAAGTAACCCTCCATTTAAAAACGCTCTCGGTAAAAATAACACTCCTGAACCAACAAGACTTTTGAAAACCAAAAAGAAGGTTTTCAAAGTTGATGCCGTTGGTGGGGTCTGTTGTGGTTGGTTATGATTTCTTAAAAGAGGGCTTTCTTCGTCGAATACTTCTTCAAATTCATAATTTTCATCATCGGAAAAATCTTCCCCGGCAAAGTGTCCGTATATGCTTAAAAATTCAATAAAGTTATTAGTTAAAAAATTCGGTGGTTTTTGATTCTGTTGCACTGATTTATTAATCAAGAATTCTCTTCTGAACCCTCCTGGGATGTTGATATCCGAAGCAGTGGACTCTCTTCTCGAGTGACTGAGGTACGTGCTGAATGACGAACTCCGTGTTCTTCTAATTGGAGGAGAATCAAGTTGCTGGTATAAGTCTCTGGTTATATCACCTCCGGGTAATTTAAGGTTATCATTTTGGTTGGGCAAGTGTTTGGAAAACGTCTTATAGTCGATGTTTGAGTTGCTGATATTGGAGATCTGGTCCTGGTACGACATGGTGTCCGGAGACTCTGATCTTTCATTATGCACCGACATTGTCTGTGGGGTCAAAACTGTGGAAATGAAAAGATGAAAGACCAAAAGAAGTGAAAAAAAAAAAAAATTATTTTTGTTATTCACGTGACGCGTCACATGACCTGCGGTACGGATGGCTGGGTGTTTCAGGCATCAAATTTCAGTTGTTCAATTTCTTTAAACCCTATTCCAACGTATCCATTAAAAGGACTTACCCAATTGGACAGGCATTTCCTTCACACAATAGCATTGCGAAGCCTTGACGGGGAAGATTAATTACTATTATTTAGTCATTCACCTTAATTTTAATCACTACAACAAGTCCCTACATCACCAACAATCATGACTAACAATCAGGTATACAATCATGTATACAACCATCAATCATTAGACTTCATTTCATGATCATTCCACAAGTTTAACGGGACTTACGTATACGTGAAAATTACGTCTGTGAAACACGACGGATCCGAACGCCTTTACTAAAAGGGTGTCCATAAACCCGAGGCACTGATGTCCCCGGGAGAATGCCCGCACTCTATGCATATGCATCTATAAATATATTAGCGGATATATATATATATGTGTATCTAGGTATGGAATTAAATTATCAACTCAATTTTCAATTACTGACTAAACATGATAAAAGATGACTTCTACATACCCAGCCACCGGTCTTTTCAGCATAATATAGACTATATGACGGGGCAAATTGAGATTGATCAACTTCATCGGTGCTGGAAAGATAATAAGAATTCCAATGACGATATTTCACTAATCATTCCAAGTACTATAAGTAAACGATTAGAGAATATTTGCTGGAGAAGAATGTATAAGAGCATCCGAAATTTACCGTCGGTCGATCCGTTACTAATAAATTGGCATAAAGAAGAAGATATAACTTGGTTATATGGACCAAATTATTCTTTCAATCAAATTTCAAATGATGAAATTGATGATGATGAATATTCAAGTGACGAAAGTAACTTGAGTTTAGATGATGAACCTTATAGTTCTCTAGATGACGATTTACCCAGCTCACTCAAGATCTTACCTAAACAAACCACCCCACCTAAAATTACATCAAAAAAAATATCAAAATTACTAAAATTACCTAATAAACGGGAGAAAAAAGTTCGCTTTAACTACATTATTAGTTCACGAGAAATTATTAATGGTATTCACTTCGACTACGATTTTTTAGATAAAAGTTGTTTATAATTCTGCATTTATTTCATTGGGTCTCTACTAAGAGCTTTATTAATATATTCCATTCGTCTTTAGGATTAGCTTGTGCTTGTAGAAGGATCTTGTGATTGCTTGCGCTGAGAAGAGGAGGTGCTCCGATGCACGGGTGCACGGCGCACTGCCCGGCGTTTGGAAGCATGCGTTGGTCTGACGTCTAAAGGCAACTCCGAGCGCAAACCCGAAACCCGCCGCCGTCCCAATTGGGCTCGCTTTACGAATGGGCCAACTGGAATTGGGTTGAATACTTGATTTGTAATTGGATTGTAATTGTATTGTATAGCTGAATTCTTCTAACTCGTCAGCTGTTTCCTGGTCCAATCTGATTGTTTACTAGCTGATGGAACATGGATACCACATGAAAATATACGGCTAGGGCTTATTTCAGATTGTCCTTCCACCAATCGGCTGTAGTTGTCCCATGGACCTAATTGTAATAGCATGAGACCAATTGGCTCTATTATTGTACTGATTGATTGGCTGCAGTTGTAAGAACATACAACCCGATGCTCATTGTTATGATATGGACCAATTGTAGCATAAATACTGTAATATTGTACGGACTAATTGGCTGTACTTGGAATAACATACGGTGGTTGTAGCAGTTTATGAATTTGGCTTATTGTATAACATACAAACTTGTATTCCGGTAGTTGCATTGGCATAGACTATTGGATGCTTTGGCTCAAGCTGTAATACCATGAGCCAATCACTCAAGGGGTAATACCATGAGCCAATTTACTAATTGATTCGTTCTTATAGCATGTCGGCATGATTTCATAATATACGGATTAATTGGCTGAAGTTGTTATCGTTATAATGATTGAGTTAAATTGGATTGTTAACAAACAATTGCTTAATGATATACAGAATCCAATTAGTTGAATGCATCATTGGAGCATGGATTACAGAAGTTATTAAGTTAATGCAATTAGTTAAGTTACTATACAGGTATAAAGCGTATCCACTTGAGCTGGAATAGTCTTGGTTATTCAATAATCCATGCAATAAAGTTAATTTGATTAATTGTTGAATAACTTCACATTTAAAACTCTTCTCGATATTCGAAGAAGATTGTGATAATTGACCCAAGAATATCAATAAATGATCTTTATACAACTTCAAGTTATTTCCACCACTGACAAAAGATGAGTCTTTGTGAGATAGAATCTGATAAGCTGATAAAACGAATCCAAAATTCTCAATAAGTTCTCTTTGTTTAGATACATTGAAAACGTAGACTACTTTTTCAATTTGTTATTAAACTCATTCATACTCTGGAGATTGTTTATTATCGAAACGTTTTGTAGTAGAAACTCGTTGTGGGTTTTCAATAGACTGTTCATTGGCTGGTTCATTCGTTTAACCGACTTGACTAGCGTGTTATATGGATCCATGCCTTGGTTGCACTTGTACTTGTTGTACTTGTTGTACTTGTTGTACTTGATAAACTTGTTGTATTTTGTTGATGTTTTGATGAGCATTTTAATTTTTCAGAGAAACTACTCATTAATCACTAATAATGAGTGATGATGACTTTAGTGATGATGATGAAATCGGTAACCTATTGAAAAAGGACTACGTTGAAGTAGATAAACCCAAAAATCCTTTGACTCATCATTTCATTGATTATAATCAACTATTAACCTATATCTATCCAACTAATTTTGAAATTAGAGATTATCAATTCAATATCGTTAAAAAGGCTTTTTATAATAACTTATTGGTTACTTTACCAACTGGGTTAGGTAAAACTTTCATTGCCAGTACTGTGATTTTAAATTTCTTAAGATGGTTTCCTGATTCAAAATTGATCTTTATGGCTCCAACAAAACCTTTAGTAGCTCAACAAATTAAAGCTTGTTGTAGTATAACTGGAATTTCATCTTCGAAAGTTGCTATTCTATTAGATAAATCTAAAAATTTAAGACTGAAAATTTGGAATGATAAATCAGTCTTTTTCACAACTCCTCAAGTTGTTGAAAATGATTTAGCTAATGGTAGTTGTGATCCTAAAAAAATTGTCTTGTTGGTTATTGATGAAGCTCATAGGGCAAAAGGTAATTATGCTTATAATAACGTTTGTCAATTCATTAATAGATTTAACTCTTCTTATAGAGTTTTGGCTTTAACCGCAACTCCCGCTACTAATATTGAAGGTGTCCAAGAAATTATTAATAATTTACATATATCTAAAATTGAAGTTAGAACTGAAAATTCAATCGATATCATAAAATATATTAAACGGAAAAAAATCGAAAGAATTACCGTTCATCCAAATAATCATATCTTACATTGTATCGATTTATTATCAGAAGCTATCCTACCAGTTTTGACCACTTGTAATGAACGAAAGATTTATGATATCACTGATCCAAAAAAAATTAATGCTTTCCAAGCAATGGAATCTTCTCAAAGAATTATTAAAAATCCGACTATCCCAGAAGGCTTAAAATGGTCCAATTATTTCCTATTACAACTTCTAACCGTGGTTGGTCAATGTTTAAGAAGATTAAATATCTACGGTATAAAATCTTTTTACACCTATTTCACTGAAAAACATAATGAGTTCATTACCAAATATGATAATAAAAAATCAACAAATCATACCGCTGCTTCCTTCTATAAGCACGAGAAAATCACTGAGTTATTAAACTTGTCAGAATCTTTAATTAATGATAATAGTTTTATTAGTCATCCTAAATTGGAAGTTTTGATTGAAAACTTGAAAGTTTTCGCTAGTGAAAATCCTTCGAACGATTCAAAAGTTATCGTCTTCACGGAATTCAGAGAATCAGCTTTAGAAATTGTTCAGTCAATTGAAAATTTAAGGTCTTCTCTTTTGAAACCTCACATCTTTATTGGTCAAGCTAAAGAACGGGAAAAATTCGATGAAGTGAAATTCTTAAATAAAGGTAGGAAAAAACCAATTGCCCAACCAAAAGCTAAAACTCCTTCAATTAGATCCAGTTCAGAAGATGCCCAATTGAAAGGTATGAATCAAAAAATTCAGAAAAAATTGATTAAAGATTTTAAAAATAACTCATATAATATTTTAGTTGCCACTTCAATTGGTGAAGAAGGTTTGGATATAGGTGAAGTGGATTTAATCGTTTGCTATGATTCAACCTCTTCTCCAATTAAAAATATTCAAAGAATGGGTAGAACTGGTCGTAAAAGAGATGGTAAAGTCTTATTATTATTTTCAAGTAATGAAGAATCAAAATTTAATAAAGCCATGGAAGGTTATGAATATATCCAACAACATATCATGGGTAATAATTTAATAGATCTATTTGAACAAAATAGAATAATACCTAAAAATTATGAACCAATTGTTGAAAAAAAATTTATTGAAATACCTCCGGAAAATATCGAATTAAAATTAGAAGACGATGAAGATGAAATCATCAAAATAGCATTAAACTATATGAATAATAAACAACTGAAATCAAATAAGAAACTGAAAAAACAAGAAAAAAAATTTAATATGCCTGATAATGTCGAAACCGGATTTACCACCGTTACAAATATGATTAAAAGGAAAGGTGATAGCGTTTCAATAGCTGAAAAACGGAAAAGAGAACAAGAATGGAAAGAAAGAGAAGCACTGCGGGAACGAGATTTACTAGACGATTTGGTAGACTCCGATGAAGAAGCAAGCCAAAGAGTAAGATCCATCACATCTTCTGATTCAAAAAGACAGAAGACTCAATCTCTGGAATTCGAAAACTCTATAAATCTTGACAGCGACGACGACACTCCAAGCAAAACCATTCTTCCTAACCCTAGTCCTGATATTAGTTCACCGCAAAAACGAAAGTCTCTAGGTACAAGACGCCCCCCACTAAAAATTCAAAAACCAATCACTTCTCTTTTAGAGTATAAGGATGATGACCCTGCACAACCAAATGAACGCAAAACGGTGAAGACTTTGGGTCCCAAAAGAAGAACGGTCCCCAGCATAATTGACCAATTGAAAAAGCAAAAGGATAAAACTGATGAACAACTACAACAAATTTTATCAGACTTTAAGCAAAATCCACCATCCAATAATGAGGATGACAACCGCAGCGACGACTTGGACGACGAATTTAATGATGGCTTGGACCACGAGCTATTATCTGTTGCTGAAACCTATAAAAAGTCAACGCCTAGTCCAAGCATACTGGCCAACTCCACCGTTGATTCGCCTTACAAAAACACCTTTGGACACAATGAAGGCTTTCTAAATGAGTCTGACAAGTTCGAGCTATATACCTCGTACTTTGTCAACTTGAAATCTTCGGACAAGTCCTCTTTCCTTGACCCAATAGACTTTGCACCCTCTTCAAACACTAATCACAGTCGTATATCGACAAAACTCATCAAATGCTTGCACTTCATAAACTCACTTGATCCGGCCACAGCCCAAAAAGTCGTTCGTCTGTATACAAATGGCAAACCTCCGTCACAAGAGTCCTCCTCAAAGGCCTTGCAACACTTGGTTGTTCCTGATTCCCCCTAGACTCTCCTTGTATATAAATTCACGTCTATATCGATATATACGTTTTTTGCATCATTAGAATAAGTTACCCGCACCAGGAACTTCAACAAAAAAAAAAGTATTTAAAGAGCTGAGAATCCTCCAAATTCCAACTCAGAACCTTTTAGCTCTTCATCTTTATGCAGGGGCATTACGTGTATCAGTGAGGATTCGTCCGAGATCATGTTTTTGCTGGTTGAAAACTATAACCTGACAGCTCCTTGATGATATGGTCTTTGTATCATGATTGTTAAGGGAATTTTTGGAGAGCTTTTTCTTTTTACTTTGTCTTTTTCTATTTCTGATGACGAGATGATTCACTTCTTTGAAGGTTTCATTTCCATTTCTTTATCACAAGTAGTAGATGAGGACAATACTAGCTTGGGATTGAGAAAGCAGAAATCCAACGCCTTCTGCCTCGCTCGATTTAATGATGTCATGATTAAGTCTTGAGCTGGATACAGTTGAGTCTTTTAAAGACCAACTCGTAAGGGGCAAGAACAACTTTAAAGATTTCCTTTGAGTGCGATGACACCAAGGTCCTATGGTCTGGATGGTGGCATTGTAATTATAAATCTTTACAACTTGTATTACTGTATTGGATGTATTGGATGTAGTTGTATTTATTTAGTGCAAAGAACAAAAATGAAAATTTTTAGCAAGACCCAATTCCGAAGTTGGAATGAGAAAAGCGAGTTGGAAGTTGGTGATGATTGGTGAAAAATTTATGAAAAGATTGGAACAGTGTCTTTGTAGAAGCCAGAGGTTAAGAGATGTTTAAAAAATTCACTAAAGACGACGTTCATTCACGTTCTAATATCAAATCATCGGTTCAAAGAGGATTGAAATCAAAATTTGTTTCACAATTTGAGGATTTAGAATCAGCAATTGATAATATCATACCGAAGAAATCACAAGTGATTTTGATTAAATGTGAAGATAAAATTCAATTATATTCAGTTGATGAAGAAGTTGTATTATTCCAACATTTCGACGAGCTTATTCCTGCTTTAAAAATCGTTCATAAATATCCAGATTGTTTCCCAAGAGTTCAAGTTGACAGAGGTGCTATTAAATTCGTTTTATCAGGTGCTAATATCATGTGTCCTGGTTTGACTTCTGCAGGTGCCAAATTACCAGAAGAAAACTTAGATAAAGAAACCATTGTTACTATATATGCCGAAGGTAAAGAACATGCTTTGGCCATTGGTAAATTAACTATGAGTACCGCAGAAATTAAATCAAAAAATAAAGGTATTGGTATTGAATTATTGCATTACTTGGGTGATGGTTTATGGCACTTTAATGAATGATTGTTACGTAGTTGTATTTTCTATCTATATATATATATATATGTTTTAATCACACTGTTATTTCTTTTAGTGAAACGTATAAATTTTGCTGTTGATAAAACCCAAAACTATCTAAGAGAGCTAAATCATCGTCTAAATATTGTTTGATCTTTAACTCTTTGGATTCTTCGAATTCATTAATGAAGTAAAAAATATTAATTTTCAATATCGATTTTCGAAGATGTTTGGAAATAATTCCTTTCAATCTTAGTACGGTATTATCAATTAAAAAAACTCGGTTTATCTTCGTATCTTCGTTCAAGTGAACCACTAGCCTTATTTTTTTGAAAGATAATTGATTTTTGATTATAGTTTGAGGTTTTAGCTCTGGCTTAGGTGCCATCTTATACTTGGTCATTAATCGATTCCATCTTTCACTTCTCATATTGAACCGGTATACTCCCAGTTTAACTTTTGATATAAAATACAACTCAAAGTTTTGTATTTCGTCTTCATTAAGAAAGCTTCCATTGATCTTACACAATCGGGTATTGCTTTTATCCTTATACAGTTGACATTCAAACCTACCTACTAGGTTAATTAACATTTCCTCAATGGATAAATCCTTGAAAATTGGATTCCCATTGATTCTAAGCAGTTTCAAGTTGGGCAATACTTGTGAAAGTTTATCAATTGTTGTCCAATCTTGGATTTCATTATGTCGTATATCTAAATGGTAAATTTTTTCAAGATTTGTTTCCAATTGTACATCTTTGATTTGATTGTGAGCTAAATTGATTGAATGAACATTTATACATGATTCAAGAAACTCGGGAATTCTGGTCATCTTGTTGTACGATAAATCAATATCTTCTAAACTTAAATGAGGTGTGGTAAAATCTACCAAATCTGCATCATTAAACTGGTTACCTGCTAAAGATAAATCTCTCAAGCCCACAAACTTCGGTAGAACTAGTTTCGTAACCTGATCTGTCTTTATGTTAGTTGATGCCAACTTTAAACGTTTGATCTTTGGATGGATTGTTGTAGGAGTTGATTCACGATTGAAAAATCGATTACCATTAAGATTTAGACTTTCGAGATTAGGTAAGTGATCAATGATCCCCCATACCTCATTTAAATCATTGAAAAGATTAAAACTTAAATCTAAATTAGTAACATTTACGAGATTAGCAAGGATCGACTTTGAATTTTCAATATTGTTAAAGCTTTTATAAATATTTTTCCTTTCCAATGAAATAGAAGGTAAATTCTTAAAGTCTGATTGGATCGAGTTCAATTTATGAAATCCATAGCTTTCTGCGATTTTAGTTCCAAATACAATTGATTTATTAAGAATAGTTTCATTTTCTTCATTTGCATACTGTCTTATAAGTGATTCAATAAAATCGTATCTTTCCTTGACGATTTTCTTATTGGTTGATTTGAGAAATGATCCAGCACCTTCAATATCAGTCTTAAAGTATGAAACACCTTCAATTGATCCACTATTCTTCCCTCTTTCTGCTTCATCCCATTCTAATCCTAATGCTATAACATCTGGGCCCCAAATAGACTCTGGTAATTTCCCGATGTATTTAATGGTGGCTAGTTCATTATCCGTAGTAGATATCCTGTCATATTCCTTAAACATAGCCCTCGATACTAATTATTCATAAGTAGAAGAAGATCAATCAGGTCTTTAGAGTGCTTTTTTTTATCAACCTTTTTTTTTTTTTTTTTTTGGTGATGACTCTACGCGTAATACAGCGAAATTTTTCATTAATGTATATAATTTATATATAATTTACAATAGAAGAACTAGACAAAAAAATTAGGCACCAAGACCGAAGTTATCACCTAATAAACCATCCAAATCGAATTCCTTGGCCCAAGTAGAAACAACTGTAGTTTGTTCGACTTTTGGAGGTTCTTTTTCACCTCTTAAAGCGCTTTTTGGAGCTTCAAGATCGATATCAGCATCAAGATCTGCTTTTTTAGAAGCTCTTGGTAAAGTCCAACCGAGGATTCTACCATCTCTCCAGTCATTCAAAACAGAAACGGCAGCAGAATTTAAGTTAGGTACACCACCTTTACCTAATCTACCTTTTGATCTTGCGATATGAATTAAAAATTGCTTACTAAATTCTTCGAAATTTGATGAAGGTAATGGAGGTAATTGGTAATAATTTTTCAACCCGTCAGCCATTTCATTGTCTTTCGAAAACTTTCTTAAAAGTAAATTGACAGCAGGTATTGGATCGAGAATTTGTTTTGGAGGAATTGCTGATAATAAAGCTAATTTAGCTTCTTGGTTGGTTTTTGAAGTTTTCTTTGAATTCATTATTTCATCTGGGAAAACTATACCTGGAGAATCGATGATTTTCAATTTACCATCAATTTTAACTTCTCTCATTGAAGTAGTTACACCAGCTTGATTACCAACTGGGCAAGCTTTTGAGTTTTGACCATGTCTATTAGTTAATGCATTAATAATTGATGATTTACCCACGTTAGGATAACCAATCACCCCAACGATGATACTTCTCTTTAAATTAGATTTGGCTGCGTAACTTTTCAATGCTTGTAATAAAGAATTAGCAGTCATGGATGAAGTTAAATTTTTATTGAATGAAGTTGATCCAGATGCTCCGGGTGATGCTTTAACTGGAACAGTTGGGAAAGAAGATTTCAAAAAATTGAGCCATTGGTTTAATGCATTAGTTGGAATTAAATCAACTTTGTTTAAAACTAAAATTAATCTTTTACCAGGATTTTGTAAAACAGCTTCTTCAACTTTCTTTGATCTAGTTGCTTCAGGGTCTCTAGCATCCAATACATATAATATAACATCTGCATGCTCAACAACAGTCTTAAAAATCTTATCATATGCTTTACGAGATTTTTCTAATTCAATGGTTGCTTCATTAGCTTCATCATCTTCAACGTCACTTATATCATATTCGACATCTTCATCAGAATCCACCATTGCATCATCCTCATCTTCTGCATCATCTCCTTCATATGCCTTGGCGGCTTGCTGAGCAGATTCCAATAAAGCTGTCAATCCATTTCCTTCATCTTCTTCAGCTTCCATTTCGTCTTCAACATCTTCTCCTCTAGCAAGGGCCTCTTCTCTTTCACGTTGTTTTTCTATCCTTTGCTGTTCTTTTCTTTCCTTTTCTATTCTTCTATTCTCTTCTAATTCGCTGATAATTTTATCCTTGTATGGGAAACTGGCTGGAATACCTGGATCCTTCTTATGTCTTGACTTCCAAGTTACGTCCTTCTTAGCTAACTTCTTATTCTTTCTGTTTTGAGCTGCGGCTTTCTTCTTGATCCCTTCCCTCATACGGGTAGTGGTTCTCTTGGAAGTGGGCTTCTTGACTCTCATTGCTATAGTTCTTACTCTGGCTATAATAACAAGAAGATAATGTCTATGAAAATTTATAGAAAAAAAAAAATTTATGAGAAGAGCTGCGATGTCTTTTTTTTTTTTACCTTTTTTTTTTTGTTTTGTTAGGCGAAGCGATGACTACAGTGCAGGAAATTGCAATCATTTTCAAATTTTGGGGCAATTGATTGAAGAAAGGCTATATCTATGGAAGTTATTTACTGTTCAGACGTTATTTCTAATAGTTGAAGGGTATTTTTTTGGCTGTACTTGGCGAAAATCGAACTTTTTAATGCCAAAGTCTGCTGTAGAAGCCTTAATCTTTGATGGAACACCATACCCAATGAACCCATTTTCTCTTTCAAATTCGTCTTCGGGTTCTATATCGCTTTCCAAATCATCGGAATCATCTGACTCGTTTGGCTCATCTGACAGGGCTCCGAGCTCCATGTTGCTGAATTGGTCACCTAGCAAAGGTGTGGTGACTCTGGGAAGATTGAAATTTTTGCTGTTGGTCTCATTTGACCCACCAATCAAGTGATGGATTAGCATTGTTTTAAATTTGGTCCTGTAAGATTCAGGAGCCAAATTCTTGAGATAGTCTGCAGTTTGTTTTATTGGGCCGGTTTGAATCAGAGATTTTATGCCAGCTTTCAAGGGAGCACAACAAACACAAATAATCATAGTGAATACGAGATAAGCGATAAAAATAGGTCTCATTATAAAAGCAATATGTATTTAAGCTATGGATAATTATAAAGTCTATCAATGCTAGATGATTTTAAATTTTTTGTTCTGTTTCTGAAAATTCATTTTTTGCGGCCATTTTCACAAACATAAATAGTCTTTTTCAATCGACATTCCTAAGTTTATTACTCATTGAGCTATTACTAGAAACTCGATGTAGAGAGTCTCTGCTGTTGTTGTTACTATAATAGAAACCGGATGGGGTCTTTTTCGGAACCACAAATGGTTTATTCAAAAATCCAAAGTTTCGAGATGGATTACCATAATCATCGCTAAGATCACTAGGATCTGCTAAATTTATATTGGATCTTGTTCTCAATCCAGCTAGATTTGGACTTTGCGTTGGACTTGTTGATGCTGAAGGCATGATACCTTCTTCTAAATGTATATTCATTGTGTCCTGCTCCGATAAGCTGTTATAAGGTATAATGTTCTTGAAATACTTATTCAATCCAGGGATTTTTGAAACCGCTTTAGACACTTGCTGTTTAAAAGGCTTGGGTATGCGGAATCTTCTAGATTTGAAAACATACTTGTTCAAATGAGATCTTCCAAAATGATAAATGAAGAAGAACAAAAGAAATATAAAAATAATTGAATAGATAATATGGCCAAAACCAACTCCATGATCGTCGTCATCATCATCACTGTCATGTGCCGAGGAGCCAATGATACCACCCGGTACAAACTCTTTACCAGATATCTCACTTGGGTATATACCTATATTCATGTCTTTTTTAGAGTCCCCTGTGATTTGGGAAGATGCAAATAATAATATTTTACCTAAAGTCCATGATAATTCATCACCGTTAACAGAATTTGCTGATTTGAAAGGCACATGAGTATTCTTCAATTTTTCCATTTCTTTTTCTTGACTAGCGTTAGTATCTTCAGAAACATCTAACCCTAATCTTGGTAATTCAAACCCATCATGAAGGACATTTATGACCCAACTTGCCTTGAAACAAGCATCTTTCAAAAACTTTTCCGGATCCAAATTCGAATATTGGCCCTTTTCAGAGTTTGACAATATCAGGGACCAATCACTTTCACAGTATTCTTTTACCCTTTCATTGAATATTTGAAAATTATATTCACCACCAGTTTGAAAAACATCATTGGCTGTGTACCAGTACTCAGAAATCCCAACGAATTTATCCTTATCAAAGTTTAATTTTGGTCCATGGATACCATTAAACAAACATGGAGTATCCTTACATGGAACATTTTTCATTAAAAGAGGATAGATCTCTTTTATACACATTTCATAATTTCCTAAGCCTTGAATGTCATATGTAGTACCATCATTATCATACTTGATGCTAGCACCTTTGGGTAAACAGGGGTCATTAATCTCAGTACCAAGTATAGGATTTGTTAATGATAAATTAATCAATTGTTTCAAATATCTTCTTCTTGCTTCGTTAGCTCCAAATCCCAACCAAGTTTCAACAAAGACACTCCATTTTTGAGTTTGACCATTAACATTTCTAAGAGTAACTTTAGATAAATCATCATCATGTTTCTTAATTTCTTCTAATGACGATGGAACAAATGCAATTTGGGTTGATGCACCGCCCATATCCATAAATCCAATCGATTCATGTTCCTCTCTAGATGCATCATATTCATTAAACTGACCCATTAAATAATTAAGACCTAACCATCCATATATTCCTTCGGTCTCACCATCTATTATTTGAACAAAATCTTTACAATTAGGTATATAAAACTTGGTATTCTTCTGGAGGCTTGAACAGGTTTCTTTCAAGATTTTCTTCTGTTTCTTAGGAGGTAACAACCTCATTCCTGCAGTTGCCAAAACATATACTGGAGTTTCATTGTGTTTTTCAGCAGGAATAATACCCTCTGCAAATTTCATCAATTCTGAATAATGATCTGTCCATATTTTCTTAACCTTGTTTGGCTCTCCAAAAGTTGAAATCCCAGGAGTAATCTTATATGTCCAGCCCTTTTCTTGAACAATTTTAGGTGGTGAAGACAATACTTTCTTGTCTTTATTGCTTTTCTTAGTATACTCTTGATCTTCCCAACGATAAATCTGAATTCGTGATCCTGATGAACCAGAATCTATAACGATCCCATACTTCTGATGGTCCGTAGGTATTTTCATCTTTTATCCCTAACTCTTATTCTAAGATAACCTTGGTAGAGACCTTCAGCCTTATCTGCTACGTAGTTGTTTTTTTCTGTTTTTTTGGTTGATCCTCGAGCTACTAATTTTTTGAGACACTATTTCCTAATCTTTATAAATCTAGCTCTAGTGATACTAGTAAAACTCAAGATGATAATATTACCCAATGCTTTACCTGCTCCTAAGGCTAACTCAATTGATTCTGGTAGCTTGGATTCATCGCTCATGACAAAAAGAGCATCCTTAACAGATTCCACGAGTGAAAATTTCAATGATTTAGTAAGGTATTTATTAAAGTTGGAGGAATATTTGGAGGGGTTATTTAATTATGTCAAAAAGCAAGCCAACTGTGAACTTATTGATGACGCTGGTGAGTTTATGTCTACGTGTATACTTGGAGAAGGAATACCATGGTCAAATTTGGTTTTGGAGAATAGTGATATTAAAGAAGTTTTGAAGAAAAGAAAGCCAATACAATGGAGTTTGGCACATGAGATCGAAGTTATACTTTTAGTTGTTTCTTTAATGTATACCAAGCTTGGATCGGAGCTTACGAATGAGCTAATTGAACTACAAGCAGCTGATGAAGGAACTGATGAGAAATGGAAGCAAGTTATTAATTATCATAAAAAAGCAATTGCATCTACAATGTTTGGAGCTAAAATTTGCTCTATTACAAATATTGAAAGTAGCGTTAACGAGAGAATATTTACATTTATGGACAAAATTAGTAATATAAGTATTCAAATGTCAATATTGTCAAAATCATCCTGGATAAATAGAAATTCATTCAACTCAACTGAAACTTTTGAGACTAATAGCAATGGTACGCTATCCAGGGTTTCTATTTATGTTTTAAATGAACTTAATGATTGCATGAATCTCCTAATTGATCTAAAGGGAAGCTTAACTACCAAAATTAATTTAAATTATAAAGACTGGAAGGATTACTTATCAGTCATTCAAAAATACATCACAGCATATGCAGGGTTATTTCTTTCAATTGAATACTATCAAAAAGATAAGCTAGGTGATGCCTTAGGACTTATAAACTTTTCATTAGTATCGTTACAGAGTAAGAAATTGTCAGAATTAAAGCCTAAACAAGGCAAAATATTATCAAAGTTCAAATCGAAGTTAACGCTGCATAAGAATGATCAATATATATCGAATATCCATTCCGTCACAACCTTAAATGTTAATAAATCCGCTTTTCAGGAAAGCTCGGGAGTTATATTGAAAGACTTGTCGTTTCTATTTGATCTGTTAATTCAACTTCATTTGAAATTTAGTAAAGAAAACGACAACCTTAAATTCGATACTGTCACTGATTGGCAAGATATAAGTAAGGACACTAAGTGGCCATTGGGTTGTAAGATACCAGTCTCTGATATAAAGATGTATGAACCAATCTCTTTTCGTCAATCCACAGGGTTATTGAAAGAAAACTATACCGGAAGAGGGTCTTACTATTAAATAGTTTATCGATAAAAAACCCAATCTCGCTATTCTAAATGTAGAGTTCTCTTTACTTTGATGACTTGCTTCTATAATCCAGAAATACTTCAATTTTTTGCCATTAAACTAAAATTGCTGGTGAACCAAGACTCTTTTTTCTAAATATTAGGTTAGTTTTGCAAAAAAATCACAAAAAACATCAAAACTTGAATTTAGTCTTCAGTATTAACATAAGAATCTAGAAGAAAGTAGGTCTTGAATAGACCAGTTATAATTAACTAAACAAGAGGATTTTTTGATTCATCAAAATAGAAGATATACGTTGCAAAATTTTTTTGCAGCTACAATTATATTTAAGAAGAACATATATTTGAGCATACATAAAGTCCATAAGAAACATTTTACTGATTAGACCAGCTGGGAATTAATTCAAAGGTAATCCTAAAGCTTCTCTTTGAGATTTAGAGTTAGGATCGTAATAAGGAACTTCTGCCAAAGCGGAAACTCTGGTACCATGTCTCAATTCTTCAGTTTCAATAGCAACGGCAGAATGTTGACTGATTCTATTATCCCATAAAGCAGCAGTAGCTAAACCAGATTCTGGATTAGTAGATTGCCAATTGAACCTAACTTGAATATCCAAGTTCTTTTCATAAACATCAAAAAGGTAGTTCAAGATAAGTCTTGATTCATCGGGTTCTAAACCAACAATTCTTACAGTCATGCCACGATTAACGTATAAAGATTTCCAACCCGTAGCTGGATGGGTTCTGATGATTGGATGTTCTCTTTCGATATGTTTTGGGCCTCTCAATGGATTTTCACGATCAATATATTGATGTGCAGATCTATAAATGGCGGTTTTACCATCCAAAAATTTTTGGAAAGCAGGCAGGAGTTTATCGTAAGCACCATAGCCAGAATACCACACAGTATCACCACCAACTTTTGGAATAGCATCATTATACAAAGTGGTAATACCTGGAGTTTGAAGCTCATGACACAAATCAGAATGTGTTATGGAGGTTGGAGCAGTCTTTGTTTGTTTAAAGTTATATTGATAACCAACTTTTTTCAAAAAATTTGGCCAAATAACAGTGATACCTCTATAACCTGGAACGTGAACCTGTTGAGCATGTTTTTCAACATTACCATAATATTCACCCAATTCCAATTGTTTTTGAGGTGATAAGTCTTGATCTTTGAAAAAGACAACAACTCTTTCTGCAATCAATAAAGCCAATTCATCCTTTTGTTTATTGTTCAAATCGCCCAATTGCAAACCAACAATTTCGGTACCGACATGTTTAGTCAAGTGTCTGATTTCTTTAGCGGCACCAAATAAGGCTTTCTTTTCTGGGTCAGCGCCCTTTCCCCTTTCAATGTATGGGGTTGGGGTACTTCTAATAGCTTCAGCTTCATCAAGATAAACTGGAATCTCTTCAGTTGGTGGACGTTCTGGATACCCTTGAGAAATATCAATATTGTATTTAGCAAATCTCTTCTTGGTTGTTTCTGGTAAGTTTTCTAAGTTGGAGTCAACAAAACCACCTTTATAACTTCCTAATAAAGATCCTCCCTTCTTATTAGACAATTGAGAGATGATATTTGAAACTGCATCTTCAATTTCTTCTTGTGTAGTTGGTAAATCTGTTCTTTGAGCTGATGGAGCCATGTTTTCAATTCAATTTTCAGTTAATAACTTCTATTCTACAAATGAAATAACTGACTTCAGATCCTTATATAGCCATTCCGGTTCCAACCCTTGTCCGATGAAGTGATTTAAAATCCCAGCCATAGTTTTCCTATTTCTGCTGCGAAAACTGTGGCATTCTAACAATTCTCGTTATCGATTTTATCATCGCGGGAAGGTTCCGCTGATTCACTAATAAAGCGAAATCGTCCGACATCGTACTACATTAATTGGCCGAAACTAAAAGACAATATTATACAATTACCTAGTGGAGTATATAGATGAGAAGATGTGGTGAATTTCTTGCTTACTAATATTGTAGTCAATATCTTTATCGACTGATTTCACAATATTATTAAGTCTATAGAAAAGATTGATGAATTGGGACTCCATATCATTCCATAATTTTTTCAATAAGTCTTGTTCAAACATGTCTTCACCACTGATGATATATTTTTCTAACTTCTTAAAGATTTCATGAGCTTTCAATTGAATATCTTTGGAGGTGTAATTACTTAATAAAGTTTTCAAGTATTTCTTATCATTTCTCTTACTCTTTGAAGGACCCAGAATTGCAGCCATTTCATAGTTCTTTATGAAATCAGATAATTTTCCAATCTTATGGTTAATTAATTTTTCAAAATAGGTATCTTGAACTTTTTTGAACACCATATCAAATTGATTTTGCATCTTGTTTGATGATTCAGTATTTAAATCAGACAACTGTTGAGTGACAAAGAAAATGTTTCTCATGATTGACACGTTCCTTAATTCTCGTTCTTTATCATCGTGGTCATTATTTTTCAATAATGGATCATCTCTTAAACATAAGTGTATAACTGCTTCTGTTAAGTCTTTATACGACGAGCTCAACATCGACTGAACTTCGGTTACATTAGATCTTTGAATTGATGATTCAGTCAAAAAAACCAATTGGTTAAAGTTCTTAATGATTGGCAAAATTCCACTTTTACCCTTAATGGTAGCTTTGTTTAATAGATCAACTTGTGATTTGATAAGCTTATTCCACAAGCCTTTGAATTTCTCACTTATTTTTTTCAAAAAACTGTAGGCTAAGAATTCTTGATTTCTTTTTTGACTTTGAATGAATATCAGATCAATTTCAATTAGTAAAACTGGAATAATCAATTCTGTAGGTGTTATCTTTTTGATGAAAAGATTGATATAGTTCCCAAATACGGTGTTCATATTGGATATTAAATCATTAGAATAGTTCTTTTCGTCAATTGTATGAATCGATAATTGGTTATATTCTTGTTCTCGGTCTTCAAATGGCCTATTTATAAAATCATTGAAATCCTGAGTGGTATCATAATGAAAAAAATTAGCAAGGAAAAGTTGAATACTCGATATCAAATCTCCTGCTTCATTGATTAATTTTATTATAATTTTAGGATCTTCAATTTCATTACCTTTTTGTTTCTTTTCGTAAATATCAACCGGTTGATTTTCACCATGATCTTCATTGAGTCCAATCTTATTCATGAGTTTATCTCTTTTAACCGACAATCTAAGTGTACGTGATTTTCTAATAGACGTTGATTCGATAGACTGAGATAATCTGGATATAGAATCAGAATATTTGATATTTTTCAACTTAACGCTAAGGTGATATTCTAAAAATTTATCAAGCTCTCCATTAATGAATGATTTGAAATCTTGAAAGTCGATCAATGAAACACTCTTGATAAAATAAGTTATACCGGAGTATGATAAAAACATCTTCAATTTTGTCAAAACATCGTTGGGGAATGCTCTTTCTCTCCTCAGTGATAATTCGGCAATTATAGTAGGAAACTGTCCCCTGATGAAAACATTAAAATGTCTTAAGAAGACTGATATAACATGTTGATAATTGGATTGATATTGTTTTAAAGCTTGGATGTTACTTATATCTTTGGTGTTAACTGTTCCATATAATCCAATAAGTAATTGCTCCAATTGTGGAATATATTCTAAAGAATTAAAAGACTTGAATTTTTCAATAGACCTCAAGTCATTACTATTTACACTGACTTTTTCTAAAATGGTTTTCAATTCTCTCCACAAATCTTTCTTGTTCACGGATTTAACTTGTAAACCTTTTGAATTATTTTCGATTAAATTGATTTCAGGGGCCAAAAAATTGAAATCTATTTCAACTTTCTTGAAAATATGATTTAGATTTTCAATTTCTGTTAAAGAAGTCTTGAGATCATTAGATGATGAGTTCATACCAAAATCTAAGTTGACCAACTCTTTGACATTTGAATGCTTGATACCATTTAATTCTTTATTAAATTTTTTAATTAAGGAATCACTTGTATCATTTATATTCCATCCAACTTCATCAAATAATTCATCTAATTCTGCATCCTTCTCGGTTTGGTTTTTCTCGGATTTTTCCTTGTTTATATTCAATGCTTGTTCCACTTCATGATCTTGATCTGTTTGTTCATGCTTATTAAAAAGACTCTCATCCTCTTCTAGCGAATAACCAATCGACAGATCAACTGGTGTCATATCTTCATCGATTATTTCTTTCAAATCCTCTTCAGTTGCAATGTGATGCGAGTTTTCTGTAGATTCATTGATTGTAGTATCGATTTGGCGTGATTTTTCATTTTTACCGAAATGTAATTGAGAATCCATGAAATCCTCTATTTCTTGTATAGAAGTATCTATTGTTCCTTCTAGATGAGTCGACTCTCCCATTATTTCTGGGCTCACTTCTTTTCTACTTGAAAGTCCTAAGCCTTTTCCATCTGGAGGTGGATAATTCTTTTTGGCACTTGCGTCACTATCAGTGACTTCTTCAATACCGAAATCCGGCGATAATGCACTTTGTTTAACATTTATTGGTGGTGGCTTTGAAATTTCAAATGAATGGACACCATCTTTATCCAATTGCTCTTCCAATCTATAACCCAATTCAGCTGCTCGTTCCAAAGGTTCTGGTGAGTCAAGTCTCCTGCTAATTTTTTTATTATCCGATTTTTCAGGTACATAAGATCGTAAAGGAGATGAGCCACCATCTTGTTTGGCATATTCATGAATGCTTGGAGCTTTTTCAGATGCTTTATCAACAGAGAAGATAAAACTTTGAGAATCGTTAATCGATGCTTCATCGTGGAGGGGTGACCTTTGTTGATAAGGATGATTACCATGCCCTGGAGTAATGGGTGACTGAAACTTTCCATCATCGATAAAGTTTTCGATAAATTCCTTACTTTCACCATAAGGTAGAGATTTATTACTTGAAGCAATGCTTTCATTATCCATGCCGGATCTGTCAGTAGGCATGATTTTCATTGGTTTCATAGGTAGTTTACCGTTTGCAGTGAAGTCCATATCTTTATAATGACTTTCAGCTGGCTGTTGTTTTAGTGATTTTGACCTTAATGCTTCCACTTCATTTCTTTGATTTCCCATTAATGGCGCACTATTATGTTTTTTAGGTAAAGGGTTTAATTTGAGCTCTTGTAATTCCCAACCATTGAGTTCTGGGTATGAACCAACAAAGTTACCGTATGCAGTTGCCAAAGATCTGATGAATTTCAAAAGATTTTCGAAATTTTCATAACATCTCCAATAATAATCTTTATTTAAGCTTAACATAAACCCATCGTTTCCTGCTCTTGAAATTGATTTTAATTCATCCATATCCCAAGTACGACCTATCTGGTAAATGTTTTTCGTTTCATTTTTTTTACCCTTTTGTAATATTACTCTTCCTGATGGCTTCATGCAAATAACCAAAACTCTATTTTTAACAGATCCAATCTGATCTTTCGGTAAGTTTGATGGAGGAGGGTGAGAAGGGTATGATGAGAATTCTTGAATAATTATGTGACCTTGGTATGCAATTTCAGGTATTCTCTTACCAGTTTTATCAATTATGTATTTTGAATAGCAGTCTCTCATCAATTGATCTCGTACCATTTTATGTTTAACATTTGGATCATTCATATTCTGAGGCGGCGGTGGCCCGTTTCTAACTCCATTATGTAGTATTGGGGCAGGCCCTCCAGTCTTGGGACCTGGCATCCCACCGGGCATGGACATTCCAGGCATCCCACCGGGCATTCCAGGCATCCCACCGGGGACTGCACCGGGGACTGCACCAGGAACTGGTCTACCCATTGGTCTCTGCTGAGGATATTGTCTTTGCTGAGATCCTGGAGATGGCCTTCCTTGACCTGGCTTCTGGGGTTGACCCAGTATTTTATTGAAATTGATCATATTTCAATTCAATAGTTTCTCCTCTTATAACTATTGCTATTTTCGACAAGATATCAATAATTGGAATTAATTCTTTCAGCAAATAAACCACAAATCAAAACCTCCGCTAACAAAGGCTTCAATATAACTTGGAAATATCCTCGAAACTAACTATTTGTCTTTAAGGAGAAGAATTCAAGTTTATCCAGTTATGATCTCATGTGTTTTCGTTTTTCCAGTAACTTTACACCTATTTGATTAAATTTTGATACACACACGCATTTCTCTCTCTATTTCATATTCATATCCATAGATGTATAAGTTAACTACAATGGCATTTTTGGGGAAATGGTTATATTACAAAGGAAAGATAAAGAATTATATACATTGTATATGGGTGTAATAAAGAAATCAAAAGAAAGGGGAAGTAATCACTTTTTTTTGTTATTCTTCTTTTTATTATTCTTTTTTGTATTCTTTTCCGAAGAAGCATTATCATCAGTGGAATTAGGTTCTGAAAGGGATTCTGCAGGTTTAGATTCTTGGGATGTTTCAGCAGCAAGAGGAGTTGGTGAATTCGTTATTGGGGTGGAGGCCCCAGCTGTTGTAGACTTACCTTCTGACAAATCAACATAGTATTCCCACAAGACAGATAAACTTTTAGATCTTCCATCCATTGCGTTTAATCTTCTTCTTAAAGCCTCGTTGAAGCAAATTTCTTGAGCTACTGGGAAAAAAGTCTGGACCCAACCTTTCTTGTAAAGTTCGGTTTCTTGAACAATTTCTTTCAATTCCAATTCCTGATATTTTGCTTGGAATTCAAATTGCCTAAAGACTTCATCACCAATTAATCCTTCTTGATACAAATACTTGAAAATTGGTTCATTTTCTTTCAATTTTAATGATCTTCTGATTGCTTCGACGGCTCTTCTTAATAAAGCTGCCTTTAAAACTTTTTCATGCGGCTTGGTTTCCTTGGTTGCATCCGGATTTGTGTATTGTGCTTTTAAGAATTGATATAATGAAGCAGTATGATTTTCTCCGAAAATCGGTTCAACCTTAGTTAAATTCTTAATTTTTTTACGTCTATAAATTATTGAAAATGCAATAAAACACGTGAGCAACACCCCAACATAAATCAATGGTGTGAAAATAGAAACCTTTATTTGCTCCTGGGTGGTAGCTTCTTCATCCATCTTGGTAGTTTATGCTTTGTAATCGTTGTATAAGAAGGAAGTTGTTGAATCTTTTTATGTCAACACGTCAATGAAAAAAAAAAAAACTCTAAAAAACAAGCCAGTACACCACACGCAACCTGGTATCCACACTCAAAAAATTGCAGTAATTAAACTTTGCAACAACTGTTCCTATTTGTTAAAGGTATTTAAAGACAGGCTACGACTGAAGTTGATTTTGCTAAATAGAAAAGCTTTGAAATGGCGAGCGGTACACTGGATGGTTTTCAAAGTCTTGACTTGGCCCACTTGAACAAATAAAATCTATATTAAGTCATTTTAAACAAGAGAAGCTTCGAGGATTACCAATAGGATTATTTAGCTACTGCAAGAGTTCGGTGTCAAGCTCACGAGAGGGTTATTGGAGGCGGTTTGGTCGTAGTGCAAATGGGAGGTCTTGTTATATTATGAGTAATATGTTCTTGTTTGAAAGTAATAAATTAAACTCCATAATCAGTTATTAGTATGTATCTAGCTATATTGGGTTATGTGGCTAGATCAGACCTCTATCGGCCACATATGTCTATACTATACATATAAACATATGTTCCAGTAGGGACGGCCATAACACACTCAATTAAGATATGGTTTATTACCAAACCCCATCTTAAGATTCATGAACAAATAATTAGGGTCTTTTATTGAAAGAGTGAAGGGAACCCACCTCTCCGTGGCTATGACACCACAGCAGTTAATAATCTGCCGAAAGACCTACAAGGAGCTTAGATATATGGCGTTGTGAGAAGCTGGAGACAGCTTCTCTGAAACCCGTAAAAGAGTACTCTGTCTTAATATGTCTTATTGACAAGCAATACTCGATCGATATAAAGCCTCTTCTAAGGACTTTCTCCCCATTAGCAAACCTCTATTTTAGATCTTCCGTGCTTGAACCTTAGTAACTTCCGGAATCAGAGAGACTTGTGATGGGATATTTATGTTTTCTTCACTCTTTTTTCAAACAATAAAGAACCTCAGCTTAGCTTATTATCTGTGTCAGTCTGAAAATACCACTGGAGTATTAGAAAAGTCATTATTTGAAGTTTTTCTAGAAACACCAATTTTCAACATCTTTAAAGACTCGTACGTATACTAAACTGAAATTTCCAGTAAAATGTCTACGGCCATATCCAGCATAAAGCATGATTACCCGTCCGATCAATAATTATTAAGCTGCTGAGAGCGATGCTGAGTACGTTAGTGGGAGACCATAATGGAAACCATCGTGCTGTAGACTCTTCTTTTTTTGCAATTTTTTTTATCATAATTTGCATATTTATATATTACACTATTTACCAAGTATATTTATTTCTTCTAATTGGTATCCCAAGATACCTTGTTAATTGGTCAAACAAATCATCGATTTGTCCATCGTCGTAGGAGTCGACCCGTTCTTTTAAACCTTGCTCCCCGACATTACTAGCGCTGGCCAATAATTTTTCTACCTGATTAGGATCGATATCGTCATTTTTTAGAAAATCTTTTAAATCCTCTTGTTGTGAGACGGGAATCACCAATTCGTAAAATTCACAAAGCAATACAAGATCAAACTTATCTATCTTCAACAAGTCTTCTATTCTGGTAGGCCAGATCTCTTCATTAGGAAACTCTCCGTCCTTATTTGATATTGGTGCTATAATTTTACTTGGGGTTGTTTCGCTCAATCTCGAATTGAAGTTTCTTCGAATGCCTCTCTCTTCCAAAAAATCAAGCTGACCTTGTAATTCCCCAACCAATTGTATTATATCTTCATTGGTTATGAAATCACTTGTATCAATTGCTAGTTGAGAAGTTGATTTCAAATCAATATCATTCATTCCAGACTTGACATTTTTAATTTGTAAGTCAAGTAATTGCTGTCCTGTACTACCAATTATTTTTGATTGTTTTTCAACGATAATCGATAACTCGCTAACTTTATCATTTAGCTGTTGCAACGTTAATTCTTTGCCGGACATTGTATCCACACTTGTTCCTTATCAAAGCAAACGTAGTACTTAACTTGTGACAACTCCAGGGTTTTTTTTTTCTTCCATATAAACAAAAAAAAAAAAACAAAAATTAAAAATTAAAAATTGCTGGGTGCACGGGTAAATCTGAAGCTCCGCCAAAATCCTCAATTACATCATACATTTTGATGATAATTTAGCAAACAAGCAGTGTTTCAGCTTATAAAACCATCAATTTACCCTATTTCTTCATCAACGCAGTTATTACTTTAGAAATGAACAAGATAGAGATTATTACCCAGCCATCGCAACCCTCAGTGGAAATCTCCGAGGAGGAGACCATGCACAAGCTCCAAGAGTTGGTGCTACAAAATCCAAGTCCCTCCCATGAAGAGGAAGGCGATAACGATGATGATCAAAAAGAAGAACATAAGCATCACAATGAAGAGCACCATAAACATCACAACAAAGAGCACCACAAGCACGTCCATAATAGCAACGGTGCTGACGACAAGAAGGAAACTCCGAAGAGTCCGAACCCAATGGTTCAATTGTCAAAAGACTATTCGAAAAAGCACCCCAAAAATAGCAAGAGCTCCAAGGAGCATGCTAAAACAACCACTGATGAGAAAGTTGACGCCTCAAGCTCAAGTGAAACCTCCTCCGGAAGTGAATCAGATGAAGAGGTAGAATATGATGAGGATGGCTTTGAGATCCCACCGGGGAAAATACCCTTGGATGGACATTTTTCCACTGAGGAAGTGCAGCATTTGATTGAAATTGCCCAAAAAGAAGGTTTCTTGAAAGAAGATGTTGCTGTTAAAGTGGTGGAACGAAATAAATTGATTGGTGATAAGATCGTTTTGATTGAAGACGATAAAAAGAAGAACTACACCCATAAATCAGAATTGACAGATAAGGAAGAGAACAAAGCTGACACTAAAGATTGATACAAGATTGGCTTTTCTTTGTCTTTTCTTTCTTTCACTTCTTGTTTTTCTGTTACTTTTATACTTAGATTCTACTTCACTTCTACTCTCCTCACATTCTTTGTTTGGTAAAATAAACCTTGGTTTGTGCTTATCAATGGCTATCTTGTAGTTTTTCACAGCTATTGGGAAAAAAAAAGGCTATCTATTGAAATACTGGTAAAAATCAAACTGATGTACGGGTCTGAAATCTCGAGGCGAAATCATTAAAAAGTCAGAACTGCCTGCCAGGTCAACTTATCTTGATTCCTTTGCTTTAAAACCAGATTCAATTAAGCGATATCAACAGCAGGAGGTCGTGACCGAAATACCTGATTCCAGATCCGACAATCAATAGTCTCTTTACCGGCATTTCAATCCAGGTTAAACTTACCCATGCATTAGAATTACGCGCCGATCATCTATCATATTTCCCTCTTCACCATGGACTTGACAAAACCAGGATCAAAAGGTAGATCGATAAGGCCGGGTAGACTGGTTCTACTATTAGTGGCGTTTGTTGGGTTATTGTTGTTTTATTTGACCGGAGCTTTGTATTTTAAGACATTGTCTGGCGCCGATGCTTCAGGATGTCGTAAAGTTTATATGTTTCCATCTTATGCTAGAATTAAATCATTCGACGAAACTCACACCAAGTTTGCTTCAAAGTACTCTTTGTACTTATATAGAGAACAGAATAAAGACCCAATTCCTAATGAAGATAATCAATCATTAAACGGGATACCAATTTTATTTATACCAGGCAATGCAGGAAGTTACAGACAAGTAAGATCAATTGCTTCGGAAACTTCAAATTTGTACTTTGACGATAATTTTAGTAATGTTAACTCTAAAAATTTTGATTTTTTCAGTGCTGATTTTAATGAAGATTTTACTGCTTTCCATGGTCGTACCATTCTAGATCAAGCCGAATATTTAAATCAAGCTATCAAATTTATTTTACAATTATATGAAAATAATGTTAATCCTCCCAAATCGGTAATAATTTTAGCCCATTCAATGGGTGGTGTGGTTGCAAGAGTCATGGTTACTTTACCAAATTATGTTCCAGAGTCAATAAATACAATCATTACTTTGGCTTCTCCTCATGCTGCTGCTCCTTTAACTTTTGACGGCGACATTTTAAAAATATATTCAGCAATTGATAGGTTCTGGTTGGCTGGCTATCAGGATAAATTAGAAAATGATGATGGTAGTGGTAAATCGGATAATGATAAAGAATTAAATAATATTGCTATGGAACGATTAGCAAATCTTTCTTTAGTTTCAATCACTGGTGGTTTATTGGATACCATACTACCGGCTGATTATACAACTCTCGGATATCTTGTTCCACCTTCGAATGGATTTACAGTCTATACTACTGGGATACAAAACGTTTGGACCCCAGTCGATCATTTAGCAATTGTTTGGTGTGGTCAATTAAGAAGAAAGATTTCTGAATTGTTACTTGATATTGCAGATTATGAATCGCCTTATAAAACATTGCCGTTGAGCAAAAGAATGTTGAAGATGAAAAAAAAATTATTGACTGGATTTGAAGAGTACTTAATACCTGAATTAACCGGGAATCCGCAACAACAACAAGATAAAATCAATATTAAATTAGATACACAAATAACTCAATCAACCAAAAAAAATGGTGATAATGTTTTAAAATTCAATCCGGGCCATAAAAATGAATTTTTCCATTTAATCCATTTAAATAAGAAAACCGATTCGAAATTTTCTTTATTAAGTACTGTTGGATTCAATTCCTGGTCTAGATTTCAAAGTGAACAAAATAATAACCCAAGTATTTTGCTATGCAATAATCAAGACAAATCGAAAAAGAATGAACCAGTTCAAGGGTTGATATACGATTATACAAATGAATTGACACAAGAGTATGTTGCATTAGAGTGTATCGATGTTGCTTCAGATACTGTTTCAGTACCTAGATCACATAATTCAATAAATAAATTGAGTGATTCTTCGTTAGATGGAGATCACAGACCTTTTACTTCTATTCAATATGATCAACTGATTCTTAAGAATTATGATTTGATTTTGATTGGTGAATCAAGTGGTAATGATGATTTAATTAAAGATGAAAACTTTTTAATTGCAGAATCATCAGAAGCAAAATCAACTGAATATACTTTGGATTCTTCATTATTTCTGTTATTCACCACTGGGAATGATATTTCTTTATCGGCGAAAAGGCCATTGAGTGTCAATGTTAAGATTCCTGGAGCCTGGTCATCATTATTGGCATATAAAGTTGAAATCAAGTATCATAAAGGAGGTCGAGAAGGAGAAACCCCTGAACAAGAGGAGCGAACTAATTTCGAACCCTTTATTAGACAATGGAGTATTGAACCATATGAATCAAAATGGCATATTAATATCTTAGATAAACCTAAGAAATCATTAATAATGACAATGCATGGGATTGCTCCATTTACCCCTTTTAAAACAAGTGTATCACATAATATGAATTTAGAAATCTGGAATGATTCTACAGAAAACAAGGATGGAGAATTGCCATTAGACGTAAGAGTTCTGATTGAATTATTCACCAGTTTAAGATTATTAGTTTTACGTTATAGATTAGGAGTTGTTGCATTTGGACTAATAATAAGTTTAATGGTATTTTTAATTCAATTAATTATTTACCATAAGAGTCACCGTTGGATGAGTTATGTACAAGGGTTACAAATGTGTTGTAAGCCCATAGTCTTAATTGGGACTTTTATCATATTGGGGGTTTTAGGAAGTATAGTGAATACTGATATTGTTGCGGTTATTTTAAACATGATTGATCCGGTAGTTATACAAGACCCCAATGAAATCAATATTAGTTTACATCGTCAATTTAAGATGAACTCATTTTATCTAGGGTTAGAGGAGTACGGAACGCTTTGGTTTCTTGGGATTATTTTCTACTTGATGTCGATTGGAATCAATTTGGTATTATATTATATTGTTGATATGATTGGACAAATGATGACTAAGATGTTGAGTTGGATTAACTTCTTGGAATCAACAGGAGGAGGAGGTTTGAAAAGAAGAATCGCCAGCACTATGATAATAATACTATTATTAACGTTCTTCTTACCATTTCAATTTGGATATTTGGTAAGTGTAATTGTACAAGTGATGAGTGTTATAAGATTGGGTAAAAAAGAAGAGAATTACTATAATTACCAAGTAAGTTTATTAATGATGATGCTTTGGATATTACCAATCAATATTCCTATATTAATTGTTTTTATTCATAATTTTACGGTTAATTGGAAGACCCCATTTCTGTCGCATCATAATTTTTTAGCAATAATTCCAATCTTGATAATGGTAGAACGAAATAGCTATATGAGAGGGAAGCTATTACCGGGGAAACTGACTGGATGGAAGAATAAAATCAGCTACGGAATAATCATATACTTTATTTGCTATTCATTAATCTACGGAATCCGTCATACTTACTGGTTGCATCATTTATTCAACTGCATGAGCAGTTGGATATTATTTTTATACTACATAGATTGATACAGAAATATTTTACCACATAGATAAATAAAGTAATATTTTACTACATGATACAGTAATTTTTTGAAGACATTCATTAAAGATAAACTAATGTACACACCAAAGATCACTCAATGGATTAAGTTAATAAAACACAATAATATAAAAGAATTAAAGAAATAAAATTAGTTAGCAGCAGAGGAGTATTTGGTAACAGCTCTGGTACCTTCAGAAACAGCGTGTTTAGCTAATTCACCTGGTAAAATCAATCTAACAGCAGTTTGAATTTCTCTAGCAGAAATGGTTGATTTCTTGTTGTAAGCAGCTAATTTAGAAGCTTCACCAGCAATTCTTTCGAAAATATCGTTAACAAAAGAGTTCATGATAGACATGGCTTTTTGAGAAATACCAGTGTCTGGATGAGTTTGTTTCAAAACTTTATAGATATAAGAAGAGTAAGTTTCTTTTCTGGTCTTAGATCTCTTTTTTGGTTCAGAAGAAGAAGCAGTCTTTTTGGCAGCTGGTTTCTTTTCAGCTGGAGCTTTAGAGGCAGGTTTCTTTTCAGCTTTTGGGGCCATTTTGTCTTACTTGATTAATTAATGGGGAATAATTGAAAATACTTTTCTACTAAAAAGAAATGGATTTGGTTGGGTTTATATATGACTGCTCAAGTAATAACAAAACACCATCTCCACCAAATAACCAAAACACTCACCAAAACACTCACCAAAACACTCCCCATCCAAACATCAACACCATTCTCTCTACCAATGTTTGTGTATATCCCATCATGATCTTCTGGTGTTTGTGTTGGCAGCCGGCACGCGTAGCCGTGCTCCCGTTTACACACCTCCGGCCCCCTGTACCGCAGGCCCGTGCCCACGGTTACACCGCGCGCGGGCGCGGTGGAGTGCCCACAGTTACACACCCCGGTGTGTAAACGGGAGTACTCTCCGGGAAGGAATTACTCCCACAAACCGCAAACCCATAAACACTGTAGATTGGGTACCGTGTCAGTGGATTGTTGTACAGGGATTGTTGATGGAGTCGATTGTGACTGGATTTACTACGCATCGAGTACTTGATGTTGATGTTTATGTTTTGGTAAGGGTGTTTGAGCTGATCCTGCACTGGAGGGGGCGAATCCACTAATGGTTTTTTCTCTGTTATATAAAAGTAATCTAATTTCCTTTTGAAATGGGATTATCAATCTTTTTTTCTTTTCTTTATCAATCAATTAAATTATTAGTATACAATGTCTGGTGGTAAAGGTAAAGCCGGTTCTTCTGAAAAAGCTTCAACTTCAAGATCTGCTAAAGCAGGTTTAACTTTCCCAGTTGGTAGAGTTCATAGATTATTAAGAAAAGGTAACTATGCTCAAAGAGTTGGTTCTGGTGCTCCAGTTTACTTGACTTCAGTTTTAGAATATTTAGCTGCTGAAATTTTAGAATTGGCTGGTAACGCTGCTAGAGATAACAAGAAATCTAGAATTATTCCAAGACATTTACAATTAGCCATCAGAAATGATGAAGAATTGAACAAATTATTAGGTCATGTTACCATTGCTCAAGGTGGTGTCTTACCAAACATTCACCAATCCTTATTACCTCCTAAAAAGGCTAAACCAGGTAAAGCTTCTCAAGAATTATAAGCTTGCTAACTCTTTTTTAATTCTCTTTCTATTTTGAATATGTATTTTATTCTCTCTTCTGTGTTTTAAGGTGGATCTTCTACCGTGTATATTAGTTGAACCTTAATGAATATGTTCTATTAATTGACCTTGTATTGTAGATCCGTACATCCCATTTTGGATGAACTCCGTACATATATACATAGATATATATGTATACTAATTTTTTTATCGGATTTTTCACCTCATCTACTACATTCACCAGTAATGGAGAAGTTTTCGAATTGGAGAGATAAAGGAACGGGGATCTCACCATTCCTACCAGCACCAGTGCCTTCGGTGAACCCAGTGACCAGATTCGTGGTTAATCCCTTGGTGGTGTTGGTCAAATTACCAATTCTAACAATTGTTTTATTACTTTCGTTGATTTTCCCATTCAAGGCTTGGTACCAATTTATTGCTAAATACTTGTTTTCCTTCCCAGAACTAAATGTTTCGGTTCAAGGCTTCCGTAGAGGTGATGTTAAGGCTTTACAACAATATAGTCCGAGACCAAATCAGTTATTTTTCGCTAATTTCATAAGTCCCTTGGATCCAATCTTTTTATTACTTATCTCGAAAGTTTCTTCTTGGAAGAATGTTTCGTTTTTGATTCCTTCAACTTCAAATGAAATATACCTTTGTTCAATGTTTGATGCGGTATTTTTCACTTTCCAATCTCCAAATTCAAAACCTGCCCGTTTCCAAGCAATTATCAAAGATATAAATGCTTATGTCAATGCTAATCCTTCGAAAGTTTGCTTTTATTTCATCGAAGGTACTACTTCAAATAATCGTGCAGTGTTGCCCTTGATTTATCCTCCAATTACAACCACTACTAACTCAATCAATTCAAGAACTATCATGTTGAAACTTTCCCCCCAGTATCTTACTCTACCAATTCCAGTTGTGTCTAAATTCGCTTACTTGTATCGTTTATTAAGTTTGCGTTCCCAGCAGAGCCTGGCCGTATTCAGAATCGTCATCAATGAAGGAGTTTCGATTAAAGAAAGCGTGGTGTCCGCTTTATTAAATAACTCTTATCCTCTTTTACATCATGAAAATATGTCTTTGAAAAGTAAAGAAGCTTTCTATAAGTATTACATTGATCATAAAGTTAAAGCTGAATAGTATATATTAGACCTCTTTTCTTTTCTTGTGTTTACTGTGACGGTGTTTCTGTCTTTTCCTATCGTCTTTATTAATATACTCGTCCATGGGATCTTTAAATTCATCCATGGGATCTTTAAATTCGTCAATTTTTTCAAACTCATCCATGGGATCTTTAAATTCATCCATGGGATCTTTAAATTCGTCAATTTTTTCAAACTCATCCATGGGATCTTTAAATTCATCCATGGGATCTTTAAATTCATCCATGGGATCTTTAAATTCGTCAACTTTTTCAAACTCATCCATGGGATCTTTAAATTCATCTTTCTTACTTTCCTTAGTATCTTCAGCGGTCTCGGTAGTCTCTTTGTATTCAAGTAACTTCTTTTCTTCCCCTTCAATCTCAGCATTGGCTGCTACCCCATAATCTATTAATAGATCGTCCTCCAGCTCGTTCTCCTTCACTTTGAAATAAACATGGTCGACTTTAAGTATCTTGTCAAAAACTTTAACCCCATTTAAATTATCAATAGCTAATACACACAGCCGAGAATCCTCGTATTTCATATAACAAAATCCTTTGCTCTTCCCTGTTTCCTTATCCTTGATCAATTTGATATGTGTTGGCACTCCAAACTGTGAAAATATAACAATTATATCTTCTTCTTTCAATTCATAAGGTATTTGCCCAATATAAATATATGAGGTGTCCCTATATTCGTAATGCCATGACCCCAGATCACTCACATTCTGCTCCAATTCCTTCTGATTAATATTTATTATCTGCCGTATCGAATTCATCCTGGTGTTATAGTCCTATCTTGATGTCAAGTATATCAGTTTATCAGTTTTGATATTTTGTCACGGCACACCTCTGCCCTCATCTCTCATCGAGAGAGAAAAAAAAAAAAAAAAAGTATACTGAAAAATTTAATCATAACTAGTTATCATTTTTGCACTAATAAGAAGGGTTTGATAGTTTAGACGAACATGGCTAGACAACCAAGAGCTTCTGCTGTTACTGAAAAAGCCAGTGAATCAAAGAAGAGAAAGCCAGAGACTGAAGATGTCGAAAGTGAAAGTGAAGAAGAGGCTGATCCAGAATTTGAAGTTAATGGCTTAATCGATGATGAAGCTAGTGAAGCCAGTGATGAAGAGGATGAAGAAGAGGAAAGTGAAGGAGATGATGAGGATGAAGAAGCACTCAACGAACTTATTGGTGAAGAAGAAGACGTTAATGAAAGTGATTATAATTCATCCGATTTTGAAAGTGATGAACCAAAGGACGAAACAACTTCAATCACCGATAAATTAACAAACGTCAAGATTAGAACTTTATCTAATAATAGCAATGATGAAGAAATACATACCAAGTTTTCTGATGGTAGACCAAGAGTGATTAAACCTGAAATTGAACCAAATTATGATAGCGATGATAGTGACGTTGAAAACTTTAATACCATAGGTAATATACCACTTTCAGCTTATGAAGAAATGCCTCATTTGGGTTATGATATCAATGGTAAAAGAATCATGAGACCTGCTAAAGGTTCAGCATTAGATCAATTATTGGAATCTATTGACTTACCTGAAGGCTGGACTGGTTTATTAGATCAAAATACTGGATCATCATTAAAATTAACTGATGAAGAATTAGAGTTAATTAGAAAAATTCAAGCTAATGAAAATACTGATCAAAGCATTAATCCTTATGAACCAACTATTGAATGGTTTACTTCAAAAACTGAAGTTATGCCAGTAACTGCTGTACCAGAACCAAAAAGAAGGTTTGTTCCATCAAAACATGAAGCTAAAAGAGTCATGAAAATCGTTAAAGCAATCAGAGATGGTAGAATTGTACCACCAAGTAAAGTTAAAGAAGAAATTGAAGAAAAAGATAAATTTAACTTTGACTTATGGAATAAGGAAGATGAAGTCAATGATCATATAATGAATTTGAGAGCTCCTAAATTACCTCCTCCAACAAATGAAGAGTCATATAATCCACCAGAAGAATACTTAATGAATGATGAAGAAAAACAAAAATGGTTAGAAACTGCACCAATTGATCGTGAAAAGAATTTTATACCTCAAAAATATGGATCATTACGTAAAGTTCCTGGTTATGAAGAAAATATTAGAGAAAGATTCGAAAGATGTTTAGATTTATATTTAGCACCAAGAGTTCGTCATAATAAATTAAATATTGATCCAGATTCTTTAATCCCAGAATTACCATCTCCAAAAGATTTGAGACCATTTCCTATTCGTTGTTCAACAATTTTTGAAGGTCACGAAGCAAGAATACGTACCATTTCAATTGATCCTCAAGGATTATGGTTGGCCACGGGTTCAGATGATGGTAGTGTTAGAATTTGGGAAATTTTGACCGGTAGACAAGTTCATAAGATACAATTAGTTGACGTTGAAGAAAATCCAGAAGATCATATTGACAGTTTAGAATGGAATCCAGATTCAGCCACTGGTATTTTAGGGGTTGTTGCTGGTGAAAATATTTATTTAATTGTTCCACCAATTTTTGGATTTGATATTGAAAACATTGGTAGATTGAGAATCGAAAGTGGTTGGGGTTATGACACATTTGGTAATAAGAAGAAAGGAGGTGATATTCAAGTTGAATCAGATGATGAAGAAACACCAAAAGAATCTAATTCAAATAATGAAATTAAAAAAGAAGTAGCCAAATGGTATCCTCCTAATTCTGAACAATCACAATTAGGTATTTCAGCTATTATACAATGTCGTAAAACAATTAAAAAATTATCATGGCATAGAAAAGGTGATTATTTTGTAACAGTTTCACCAGAAAGTAAAAATACTGCAGTATTAATTCATCAAATTTCAAAACATTTATCACAATCACCTTTCAAAAAACTGAAAGGTATTATAATGGATGCAAAATTTCATCCTTTCAAACCTCAATTATTCGTTTGTTCACAAAGAACTATTAGAATTTATGATTTATCACAACAAAGCTTAATTAAAAAGTTAATGCCGGGGGCAAGATTATTATCAAATATTGATATTCATCCAAGAGGTGATAATTTATTAGCTGGATCATATGATAAAAGAGTTTTATGGCATGATTTAGATTTAAGTTCAACTCCATATAAAACTTTAAGATATCATGAAAAAGCAGTTAGACAAATTAAATTTCATAAAAGTAATTTACCGCTTTTTGCAACTGCATCCGATGATGGTAGTATTCATGTATTCCATGGTACTGTTTATGATGATTTAATGACTAATCCATTATTAGTACCATTGAAAAAATTAACTGGTCATAAAGTTATCAATAGTTTAGGAGTTTTGGATTTAATTTGGCATCCAAAAGAAGCATGGTTATTTAGTGCTGGTGCTGATGGTACCGCACGTCTTTGGACTACATAGATGTATATATATATATGTGAAATAAATAATTTTTTCTATAAATCAGGGTTAGTAACTTGACCTTTTCGGTAATAAACACAACTAGTTAACTTTTGTTGATGATACTTAGCTACATATAAATCTTGCGAGTTGTGATCTTCATTAAAAATATGTTTGAAAATTATTTGAATATTATCAACAATTCCAACATTGTCATTATCCAAGATCCAATCCCAATGTTTCCAATCTAAAATACCTTCGTGACAGTATACAAAAGGTGTTTTAGGAAATTTTTCAAATTGCTCATTATTCAAATCAGCAACAAAAATATGAACTCCATTGAAATCTTCATCGTCCACAAACCATCTCATCACCCCGCAATCAATAAACTGATCTTGATCCAAATCTAGTCCGGTTTCTTCTAGAGTTTCTCGTTGAATGCATTGCAAAGGAGTTTCTTCTAAATCTAGTTTTCCTCCCACCCCATTCCAGCGCCCCATCCAAGGTTTCTTCTGGCGATTGAGGAGCAACACGCTATTTGTTGCAACATTACGAATGAATCCAAGCGTATATTTGTAGTAAGACTTTGTCATTTAAAGAATATTATAGTTGGGATTTTTACTTTTTAATTTTTTTTTTTTCATTTTTTCCCTTTTCAGTGAACCTATTTTTTGTTCTGAGACATGTCAACCTCCATAACTCATTTATGGATCAAAACTTGTCAAGGTCTTACCAACATCAGGTATTGCCACGATCGAAACATCTTATCCAGTCCTTAAGTTCCATTGGCAGTCCCTCCTGCAAGTGGTCCAACTTCCATCTGCCAAAATCGCTTAACCAATGTTTCAAATTGGCAATATCCGACTCGATTTGCAACAACTCCATTCTTTTTTGCAATAACATCAAAATCATACATTGTTTAAGCGAGGCCTCTACCTCAAGATGAAACAAGACCAAACAGACTAGCGTGATCTCGCTAACAGTATCGGGATCAAGGCCTCCATACCCGGACCCGAACCCGGGCAATATCAAGTGAGATACTGACGTCCCGGATAAGCTCAAGCAACAACTCCAAATACAGTCAAACACAAGCTGATGAGAATCCGTTTTGGCCAAAGGTTGAGGAAGCACCATGGTGGGTACATGGACAATTGTAGTGACGTTATTGGAAACAGACCCATACTTGGATAAGCTAATCACACTTGCCAATTTCGTGGGCATGTAACCATTATTCTTCTCCACCAAAAAGGCATTGATCTGGTTCGCCAACTGAGTATAGTTGACCGGATCAACTGCCTTCAAGACGTGCTTGTCAAAGCCGTCGTTCATCAACCCAAGAGCATTTCCCGGGGTTGCAATGGCGGTCTCTTGCACAAAGGGACTCCTGACTATATTTTCAATCGAATCATGGATGGTACCAATACTGATGGGTATCCTCCAGGGTAAGCTCCTGAGCAGCATCAAGTGCTTGCGGAAACACTGCACCAACTCGGCATTGGTGGATACAAGCGACACGCTACTAATCATTCTGTTGATGTTTGGCTACTGAGTATGCTCTCCGTGGGTGTTCTTTTTTTTTTCCCCCTTTCCCTTAGAGAAGGGCAACGGTGTAGTACGATTCTGATCCCCAAGGGATCCCCAAGGGAATTGGCCCATAAACGCGACCACCGACACCGTCCGAGTCCGGTTACACCAACAACTTCATTCGATGCAATGGAGGGAACTGGTAATGATCGATGTAGCAGTGCTAGATCAATTGGGGGTAAAGGGTCTTTGTGGACGCCACACCCGATCCCCAACCCAGTGAACGTGAATCGCAACCAGCCAATCAAATTGTGTTTCGGGCCCCTCCACCAGGGAGTTTAGATCGAGTGATTGAGGCACCCGTGGGTGGGCCAAAGGCAAATATATGCCCTACATTGTGACAGTGTAGTTGGTGGAGTGGTAAGAGGCCAATTGACTGGCAATTCTCACTTTTTAAGTGTAATTAGACTTGATTTGAACTTGGTGGGTTTTCCAATTTGCTCAACGTTTTTTTGGAGGACTTTTTTTTTTTGGTGAACTTCTCAAATTATCAACAAATATCAACTTCTTCTTCTTCTTCTTCTTCTTCTTCTTCTTTATTGATCAAACATATTCAATTCACAATGGCTCCACCAGCTTTCTCCGATATCCAAAAGGCTTCTAACGATTTATTAAACCGTGATTTCTTCCACTTGGCCACCGCTGCCGTTGATGTTAAATCAACTGCTCCAAACGGTGTTGCTTTCACTGTTAAAGGTAAGACTGCTAAGGATAACTCAATTGCTGCTTCTGTTGATGCTAAGTACGCTGATAAGGCCACCGGTTTGACCTTGACCCAAGGTTGGAACAACGCCAACTCTCTTAACACCAAGATTGAATTATCTGAATTATTAACTCCAGGTTTAAAAGGTGAATTAGATACTTCTGTTGTTCCAAACGGTCCAAGAAATGCTAAATTAAACTTTTTCTACCAACAATCTGCTGTTAACGCCAGATTATTCTTTGACTTATTAAAAGGACCAGTTGCCACTGCTGATTTATCTGTTGCCCACGATGGTTTCAATGCTGGTGCCGAATTAGGTTACGATATCTCTTCTGCTAAAGTTAACAAATACTCTGTTGGTGTTGGTTACGCTGGTCCTTTATACGCCATTGCTGCCACTGCCACTTCTAACTTGTCTGTTTTCACTGCTGCTTACTACCATAAAGTTAGTCCTTTGGTTGAAGCTGGTGCTAAAGCTACTTGGGATTCTGTCAAATCCTCTAACGTTAACGTTGAATTTGCTACCAAATACCAATTAGACTCTACTGCTTTTGTTAAAGCTAAAATCGCCGATTCTGGTTTAACCGCTTTATCTTACTCTCAAGAATTAAGACCTGGTGTTAGATTAGGTTTAGGTACCTCTTTCGATGCTTTGAAATTGGCTGAACCAGTCCACAAATTAGGTTTCTCCTTATCTTTCTCTGCTTAGATTAGTCTAGTTTAATACAATTATTTGTCTATATGTAAAAAATTAATTGGTTGATGTATGTGTACGGGTGTCTTCTCTGGGTGGTGTATGGGTGTATCTCTAGTTTCTTTCACCATTAAATTTACCAATGAAAAATATAAAAGACCTACTTCTACTTCATTTCTTACATTAAACATGTCAACGCCTCTTAAAAGACCCCTTAGTGAGAGTCCGTCGCAAACAAAAGTGGCGGGAACTCCACCACCAAAGTTGATGCCATCAATAGTACAAGTCTCAAGACCCTTTTTCACCTCATCAGAATTATCATACTTACATTCATTTACCATTCCAGATCATAAAAAAATAGGATACAATCAAAGAAAACACCAAATATTCCAGTATATTTTCCAAATATGTAAGAGCTTGAAGTTACCTTTAAGGGTATTAAATACCACAATGAATTATTATCAACGATATTATCTATTTAATAAATTTGAGGAAATGAATGAAGAATCAGAAATTGTCGAAGAAAATGACCCATTCATAGTTTCTTTAGCTTGTTTATTCTTAGCAAGTAAAAATGAAGATTGCATCAAGAAATTAAGAGACATTTTAATTATATCGAATAAATTAAGAGATTTAGATGAATCGACAATTAATATTGATCATCAAAGAAAAATTATTATGAATCTTGAATTTAAATTATTACAAATTATAAAATTTGATTTCATAAATGGTTCAAATAATATTCCTTCTCCTGATCAATTAGTAGTTACCTTTAGTAAAAAATTAGGACTCGATTATAAAAGTTCAATGTTTAGTTGGTTAATTACTTTTGATATTATGTCAACTCCTTTATGTTTAATCATTCCTCCTCATTGTATTGCTTTAGCAATCATTATTGTCACTCTTAACTTAAAACCAAAGCACTTATCAACAAAATATAATAAAGTTGAAGATGAAAATACCGATTATCAAGATAACTTAATAAAAATCTTGGAAAAAATTGATTCTTTCAAAGATTTTAAATGTCCTGAACCTTTGGTTAATGAGGGAATAATTTATATTCTAGATTATTACATTCATCAAATGAATTTTTCAATTTTAAATGATTATATACCTTCAATTGATCCCGAACTGGGTAAAGAACAAATTTTCAAATTTATGGATTTAAAATCAAGGTTTAATGACTTAAAAATTTTAAATGAAGCTTCTACTAATAAACCTTTGCTTCAACAAGATTTTTACTTGAAAAAATGGGATTATTCAATCGGCTTAAAAGGTTCGGTTAGATTTATGTTAGGTAATAAGAGACGTAGATTTGATCAAGAGTTTGATCTTAATGAATCAAAGCCAAAATCATAAATAAAATGTTAACTTGTATATTTATATACGTATATTTATATATGTATATTTATATATGTATTTTTAATGCAAAATATATTATTCAGATAATTTATAACTGACTAACGTACCAACTTGATGAATATTTGTACTAAATGAAGTAAATTTGACATTTTCAACGTTTTCTCCTTCGACTAATTTGGCATCTCCATTAGTATCAGCCCATTCATTTGGTAAATTTCTTGTATCATACTTTGGATCAGTATACACAAGAACATTAAAAGTATAATCATCGTCCTTTAAAAATGGTAAATATGACACGGATGCGGTGATTTGTCTTATAATTGATTGAATTTCTTTTTGAATCAACTCTTTGGGTTTACTATCAGTGGTATCGCTTGATTGTCCATCATTTTTAAAGATTTCAATAGCAAATTCCCATCTTTCCACTATATCAGTGGTGGATTTGTTTATTATCACAACCACCAACTTGATTATTTTTCCACCATATATCCACTTCTTCACTTGTGTCATTATATTACGAATGTAATCTTTAACCTCCTCATCAGCCGTCACTAATAATGGTAAATCATATTTCTTCACAGTTATAAAATCTTCTGCTGGATATATTCCTCTTTGAAATAAAATGTTATTAATGGCAAACTCAAAGTAATCTGCCACTATCTTGGAGGACCCTTTCAATGCTAACTTGGAAAGGGACGTGTTATCTGCTGGATTGGTGGTCATGCTGCTAATATAAAGAGTTTGCAGTTGAGTTTGTTTTTGATTTCACAGTCTTTATATCTCTAATAATAAACCCGTACATCTGGAATATTAAGTCATTACCTACACCAACTAATTCAAGGTCAATTGAATGGTCTTCATTATAAATAGCACCTAGAAAGTACATATGAGTTGTAATACGTGCTTAAAGTATGTTTTTAGATATTAAGATGGAAAAAGTACAATTTTGACTTATTTTTCAAGTATTTCAAGAAAAAGTAGATAAATATTGTTGAAAACGAATCCATTCTTAAACAATAACGAAAGTTAATGGAAAAAAATGAAAAAAATGAAAAAAATGAAAGAAATTCAAAAAAGAACCCATTTTATACTAGCTTGGTCTTTCAACGGCAGATGATCTGATTAAGCTATAAAAGCTTAAGATAGAGGTTCAGAGAATTGCAAAAAATGAATGCGTGTGCTGAAGAAATTTTTTTGGTGATAATTTCGAATACAAACTACGAGACTTTTTTATCAAGAAACGGTTTGACTAAATAAACGTAATGGTATGTACCAGAAGGTTGTGTAGATATGAAGAAAATAGACTAACCGAAAGAATAGGAACACGGAGTGAAAAGAGTCAATTTATCCAAAGAGGCGAAGAGATTGAAGATCGAAAAAGATCAAGCGAAAATTGTTCATTACAAGAAGCTTCAACAAGACTTATTAAGATCCAATAAGGCCGAGGAATATACTTTGGAGAGACTCGGCAAGACCACCGAACTATTAGCATTGAACCCTGAATTCTATACTATATGGAATTATCGTCGAGAAATTTTGCTTGATTTATTTAACAAGAAGGAACTTGATCTAAAAACTAGTTTGGAAGATGATTTAAAGTTAGTTTTGCAACAATTGAAAAAGTTCCCGAAATGTTATTGGATTTGGAATCATAGGGCTTGGTGCTTAGGAAAGCTACAAGAGGCAAAGATGGCAAATTGGGACTTTGAATTAGGTATTGTTTCAAAGCTTTTAGAAATGGATAGTAGAAACTTCCATGGATGGCAATATAGAAGATTTGTAGTTCAAAATATTGAGCAAAATTCAAAAGAGATTCTATCTATTAATTTGAAGGAGTTTGATTATACTACAACCAAGATTAATAAGAATATATCTAATTTTTCTGCATGGCATAATAGAAGTAAATTAATTATCAAAATTTATCATTTGACGAAGGAATCAAATACTAATGTTGAATCTGAAACAATTACCCTTTTCGAGAATCCCTTGAAGCTACTTCAACACGAACTAAATTTGATAAAAACTGGGATGTTTATGGACTCTGACGATACATCTATATGGTTATACTTATTATGGCTTTTAACTGAGCCATTATTCGTTGATTATCTAGAGAAGGAAAACCAATACATTCCTTTATTGCAAGAACAATTGAAAACTGTTGAAGAATTAAACGAATTGGAGAAAGATGATCATATCAATAGTTGGGATAATGTTTGGTGCTTGAAAAGTATTATTGTTATAAAGGGCCTAATTAAACAACAAAATAATGAGACCTTAATCGATGATGATATAAAGTCCATGCTACAAAAGCTAATTGAATATGACCCTTTAAGGAAAGGCCGTTACCTAGACCAGTTGAATGGTGTCGTATCGATTATATGAGCTAGAAAAGTATTAATATACAAACTTTAACTCCTTATGGTAATTTTTGATAGTAAACGGCTTAAAAAAAAAAAAAAAAAGGCGGGGGAGCCTTTTCTCTCGCTAATCAAATTTAAACTGGCTAAATTTTCAGATTTATATTTAATTTAAAATATCAATAATTTATGAACGACAACATGAGTAGTGAAGATAATAAACGCAGTAAAGATAAGACTAGTAAAGATAAGTTCTACTTGTATTGGTATGTTTTAGCAAAAAAAAAAAAAAAATTTTATCTTATTCTAACATCTTTAGGTTGAATGATTCAAGAGCTCACAGGATCTTATGGACACTTGAAATATTGAAGCTTGATTACGAAGTTGAAATACATTTAAGAGACCCAGAAACGTTTCGATGTGATACCATGTTTGATATTCATCAGTTAGGAAAAGCGCCTATGCTAAAAATTATATTTGCAGATGGGTCTGAGCCTTTATTTTTACTTGAGAGTGGACTAATAATGCAGTATTTATTAAAGCATTACGATCCAGAAAATATATTGAATCCCGAAAAAGAAGCAGATAAGCTTCGAGTAGACTATTATCTTCATTATTCTGAAGGTACTTTGCAGCACTTGCAAATTTCGATTTTGATTAATTCAGTTGCAAAAAAAATTGCACCCATTGGATTAAAATATTTAGCCAAAGTTTTTGGCAAAGGTTTGAATAACGGTTATTACATACACGAATGGAGGCTCAATTTGGAGTATTTAGAGAAAAAATTAAAAGAAGAAGGTACTGGTTATTTTATAGGAGATAAATTAACTGCGGCAGATATAATACTAAGTTTCCCAGTTATGGAAAATGTTTTTGATAACGAATACCAGATACATAAATTAATTTACGATGATCGGAGCTTAACGAAGCAGTATCCCAATTTAGCTCAATGGAGTTTAATGATAAAAAACAACGCTTTATATTCCAAAATTACTCAAGTGATGAATGCTCTTGTTGAAGAGAAAAAGAGATCAAGTCAATAGAAAGAGAAGAGATCGAGTGAATAAAAGAAAAGAGATGAAGTAAATAGAAAGGAAAAGAAGATTAACTTTATATAAATTATCTTGAAGTATCCAATACATATCTACCCATTACTTTACCGTTTTGGAACATTTCATAAACTTTTGATAGTTCGGAAAGTCCAACGATTTTGATTGGACATTTAATTAAACCTCTTGCGAAAAAATCAACGGCTTCATTCATATCAGACATGTTACCGAAATAAGAAGCAATGATTTTAACATTTTTCATAACCGCTTCGAAAACTGGGGTATGAACATGAGAATTAGGAGGCAACCCAGCCAATACGACGGTCCCAGCAGTTCTCACGTACTGAACTGATTGGCTGATTGCCTTTTCCGATACCGAAACATTGAGGACACCATGGGGGCCACCATTGGTGAGTGATTTCACTTCTTGAATAAAATTTTTAGAAGAAGCAAAATCCACGAAAACTTCAGCACCCAATTTTTCACAAAAAATTTTTTTATCAGCCCCAGAATCGATTGCTAAGACTCTATAACCCATTGCAATTGCATATTGGATAGCCATTGAGCCCAACCCACCAGCGGCACCAGAAATAGCAATCCAATCGCCTGGTTTTAAATTGTTACGTTTTAAAGCTTTATAAACGGTTAGACCAGCACATAAAACTGGAGCGCATTGGGCCAAATCGGCGGATTTTGGGAATTTTGAAGCATGGGTTGAACTAATGGTAGCATATTGTTGGAAAGAACCATCATGAGTATAACCACTCAATTCCACCAGTTCACAATTTGGTTCTAAACAATTAGTACAATATTCACAAGTTTGACAAGTACTATTAATCCATTTAACCCCCACATGATCACCGATTTGCCAATTTTTAACTTGATCCCCCATTCCCACCACGATTCCAGCACCTTCGTGGCCACCAACCAAGGGGACTTTGGTGGCCATTGGCCAATCTCCTTTCCAAGCGTGTAAATCAGAATGGCAAACCCCAGAATATTTAATATTGACTAATAATTCGTTTGATTTTGGGGTTGGAACCGGAATATCTTTATAGATTAAAGGACCACCATTTTGTTCGAAAACAACTGCCTTTTGGTAAGCTGGTACTTTCATTTTTAATATAATATAGTGAAGGGGATATATATGATACAGAGGTTGACATATTTATAGGGATTAAAAAATGGTTGCAATTGTTCGCAGTAAATTTGCAACAATAGAAAGGTGGAGAAGGGTATACCAAACACCGATTTGAGTATTTAACTTATAAATCATGATACTTCGGTGTTTGATCAGAGGATATCCGCGTTATTAAAGGATTTGAATGGATTAACCTATATATTGGTTGTTCTTTGTGGGAATCTACAAGATAAACGGGAGAAGAGTTAATAATTGGAAAGCATACAGAATTGCAGCACAGAATAGCACAGAATAGCACAGAATAGCACAGAATAGCACAGAATAGCACAGAATAGCACAGAATTGCAGCATACAGAATAAGCATTGGAATACAGAGATACGCGTTGAGAAGTATTTCAAAGTAAACTGGGAGCCATAAGTCAAAGGTCAATAAAACAAATAGACAAAAGACAAATAGACAAAAGACAAATGACAAAAGACAAATGACAAAAGACAAAAGACAAAAGACAAAAGACAAAAGACAAAAGACAAGACAAAAGACAAGACAAAAGACAAGACAAAAGACAAGACAAAAGACAAGACAAAGACAAGACAAAAGACAAATTGCAACATACAAGACAAAAGAATAATTGACCAAATAAACCACTGATATAAACCAATAGAATAAGATAAACACCGGTCACGTGACAAAAAAACAATCCCCTCAGAAAGGTACGGGTTTCAGTCCGGCTGGGGCAAAGCCTTGCCTGGAATAACCCACCTTATATTTGCAGCAAAATTTCTTATTAGATTCTCCTCAAAGGTAAATCTTACAATAATCAAGACAATAATCGAGATTCGTATTTGCTCGTTAAGGCCAGCACCGTGACTATTTTGGATCCAGGGTACTGGTGGAGAACTTTATAAGAAATACAGATACAGGAAATACAGGAAATACTAAGAAAGAAGAAATCTAAGAAATACTAAGAATGCTGAGATGAAATACTGAGGAATACCGAAGACATACTAAGAAGACATTAAAAACATACTAAGAAGACATAAAAGACATACTAAGAAGACATAAAAGACATACTAAGAAGAACAGCAACGACTGAAGCATCAGTGATGATCCAGCACGCCTATGGCTGGGGGACCCTGGGCTAGTGGATGGCTAGTGGACATGATGGACATGGCAGTACGGCAAACATAGGTATCCTCATCAGGTATACAGTAAGTCAGGTATACAGTAAAGGTACCAGAAGTGAGGTATGGTACGATAAGGAGCGGAGTACCTATATTGCTGCGTAACTTTGCTGTTTATGTTTGAGAATCTTTGCCTCAGTCAAAAGAAAAAGATTTTTTTTTTTTTTAGAAGACTTTTTTTTTTTTTTTGGAGGCACAGATTAAGGCAAGTTTTCTCACCGAGAATTCTTGCAACCTTATAAAAGAACTGATTTATCCCAGGCTTTAAGGAAAATCACCAGATAAAGAGCTTTTTCTATTAGAACAATAACGATGTCTCAGTATAGAACGATATCATCTACTGATCTAAAATCGATTGAGAAGTTGAACTTTACGTTTTCCACTCTGAATGTCACTCCTTCCACTACTAGTTTTGATCTATTGAATGACTCTACGTATGTTAGTACTCCGAGAGGGATCCAGTGCAATAACTTCTATTCTAATAATTCGAGCCAATCGTCGCTTGTATCGCTAGAGTATATAAGATCAGCATCACCTAAGCCAGTCAAGAATGCTCAGAAGATTGATACCAATCCTTGTTCGGGTATAGAATTACAGGAGAGAATACCCTTGATATTTAAGAAGAATCAGGATTTGAACCAATATTTCCATAAAGAGTTTTATTTTGCCAGCAATTTATCCAATTTGAATCAGGTTTTGATGAACAATAACGAAGAGTTTGAATTTGAAGAAGGATTGATATTGCATCCCATATCCAGGCTGATTGCCCCCAAACATTATAAGCAGATGAATGAAATGATTGACCAAATAATTGAATTGCTTGACTCGATCATCAAACTCATTGAAGATTCAAATGAAGACTTATTGAAGAAATACGATGAAATGGTGAAACGTCCCTTGAAATTGGCCATGTTGACCAATTCCAGATTATACCATAATTTTGAGCATTCAAGATTAATGATGGAATCCTTAATCACCTCGAAAAAACTTTTCGAAGCATATGTTTTCAACGCTGACCTGTTTAACGCTTTGGTTGATGAATTAATCAACTTGATTTTTGACTATAACCAATACGTTAGTGATTATGATTTGGGAAGAGACCCTTCCACCTCCACCACCAAGACTACAGATACTACGGACCTTTTTGATAAAATCGACCATGTTGAATCATTTACTAATACAAAAGACTGTTATCGCCAATTTGAATCCTTACTAGTTGAAAATTTTTTTGTTTTCAACGAATTTACCATTAAAGGTCAAGAATTTATTAAAAAACTGGCTATTTATGAAAAATTCAATTACGAAATTGTCTCCTTGGATGACCATTTGAAATTTTCAAATTAATTAATTAACATTTATATATTCATGCATTTTTATAGACTAGCGGGCTAGGGTAATACACAATCGGTTACGGAGTTATTTTTAACGTAGCAAGTATTTCAGCCACACGATGGGTTTGTTGCTGATGACGGAAGAATGCTAGGAGTTCCGTTGAGCGGTGGTGCTGATTCTCTGCATTGGATTCCTGCACAAATCAATGAGGCTATATAAGCGAGCCATTGGTTGCAAATCCTCGCTCTCAACTCTTCCTTCCACCCTCTCTGAACTTTCCACCCGAGCTGAAAGGTCCTCACCTGTTCGGTGAACCTATTGACGTGTAGCTGTGTACTGAAAATCAGCCACAGGCAATCAGGTACTGGTTTCAGTCACAATACCGATCGGATTAATTAACATGAAATCGCTCCTGTCATCCTATTTATATATAATGTATAACCACAGCTTATACAGGTAATTTACAACAGGGTATAGTACGACTGATCCATTTTCCCGGAAGTGTCCTTAAGGGTCTAAATAGTGTGCTTGTTTCTACACCATCTATACATATAGTCTAAGCACTCACCGACTTCTGAGTAGACAATTCCAGACCCATCTACTATAAGATAATATCCTAATATATAAAGTATACTGACTTTAGCATGTAGCCCACTCGAATACTGGCTATTGCGAGCCATTTAAGTGTTTACTGAAAAGTCAATACTCACTTTTCTGTTTATTCAATTCTCGATTTTGCAATCACTCTCAAGCGCTTGTACGTATTATAAACGGTACAAGAATGAAAGGTGTTTGTCAATAGATTTTTTGGAACTGGCCATCATTAGACGGGGCCCATCCCGAACATCATTTTTATTTGGAGGTATCCATGATGATACGAATCTTTGTTATGGTACAAAAATGAATTAGGAAGCCATACCAAACCGTGAGAATAAATAACCATGGTCTCCTCCTACTTATAGAATCTCATCAATACATTTCTCTTTAATTACAATTTATTTTCATTTTATTTATTTTTACTGTAAATTTCAGCCGAATAGCTCAAGGGGATTTAGTTAGTACAATGATTAATAGAACAAGTGATTGTCTTCTCAATGATGCTGGTTGGGATGACTGTACTGCGGAACTTCAAAAGATGATTAATTCTTCCAAGAGTCTCATGACGGATATGCAAATTATCATAGTATTCGATACTTGATTCAAAGCGGTCCCGTTAGAACTTATAATGACAAATGCTTGGATTTATGTGACCAACTTAGAGACCTATCAAACTAACGCACTGACATTCGTTTAATTATGGACTACATAGATGGTATGAAGCCTCATATTCGTGAAGCTTTGATATTAATCACTTATGATGACCTTTATGAAGCCATGCAAGCCGTTCTTCTTAGGGACAGAAATCCCCGATACTTTAAGAATAATTCCAATTACACCCCAAATTTATGGGAATAAAAACCGTTACTCAAAGAAACAATCTGTATCAATCCAATAGAATGGAAATTAATGATTTGAATGTTAGAAGAAATATTCACGGATACAGAAACAAGTACAACAGATATAACGGTGGTAATAACAATACAACAGATATAACGGTGGTAATAACAATAGCAGATTCAATGGTAATAACAGTAGCAGATTCAATGGTAATAACAGTAGCAGATTCAATGGTAATAACAATAGCAGATTCAATGGTAATAACAATAGCAGATTTAATGGTAGTAATTATAACAGAAATAGTTGTAACCGTAACAATTCATACTCCTATGGCAACGGCCAATATTAAGTCTGCTGTACAAATTGGGATGATCTAGATATGTAATGAGATATATGGTCGATTTTCTGAAATATTTAACGAGTCACCTAACCCAAGTAAACATCATGTAATTCTGATTCTCTCTGTAAATGATATTTTAACTGCTAGGCATCGGTGTACTACTTGCTAGATGGCTGGGGAAAGTCAAACTTACCTACTACCAAACTTGAAGATCTCCAAACCTATGGGCTTGTTCACTGAGCCTCAATACATTGCCAAATGGTCACTTTTCCTCTTAACGCTGGTTTTAGTTACAACCAAATCCTTCTTTTAAATGATGCTTACCGTGGAATCGACTTTACCGCCAGTATAAGATTGTTCCAGTTAACCCTATTCCGACGGCTGCTACTGACACTTACTGGCACCCCATTCATATAACGTGGGTATAGATATTTATTTATATATGTAGGATGCCTTGCGAGAGCCACACCGACTTGTCAGTATGACCATGCTTCATATTGATGTTCTTTCTTGTTCTGGCACAGTGCTCGAGAAAAACCTTGAGTATTTATTCGGCCCAATCCACCAGTTCTATCTCCTTATTTTCAAGGGTGTACCTTTCTCTCCGAAGTAGTATAACCAATTGCTCCTTTGAAAACAAACATTCCTCGTATCAGCTCAGGGTTTTCTGTTCACGAGATTGGCTAATTGCAGGCCATAAACTACTACTTTAGCTCAAAACTTCTGCTTTTTCATCCTGCAAAATCCCCCGCCCTTACTGATTATATACTTTCCCTTTATGACCCGTATTTTTTTTTTCACGTATATTTAGGTTTTTTTTTTTTTTGACGTATTAGAATATATATTTAATAACTATTTACTAATATATACCTAGAGTGGGAAAGACTATGTTTAGTCAAGAAAACCCATGTTGAATTAAGTGATGTGATAGAAATGATTTTTTTGAAAACACCAATTTTCGACATCCTTAAACATCCGTGCGTATAGTAAACCAAAATTTCCAGTGAAATGTCTACGGCCATATCCAGCATAAAGCATGATTACCCGTCCGATCAATAATTATTAAGCTGCTGAGAGCGATGCTGAGTACGTTAGTGGGAGACCATAATGGAAACCATCGTGCTGTAGACTTTCTTTTTGCATTTTTAGAAAACTGATCACTTTTTTCAATATTCAATCACTTCCAATATTCAATCACTTCCAATATTCAATCATTTTTGGATATTCAATTAATCGCTCCAATATTCAATTAATCATTTTTGGATGTTCAATTAATCACTCCAATCAATAATTAAACCGTTTTCACTATCGGAGTAAAGAATACTAGCTAATACGACCAGATACCCAAAGAGGCACCCCCACACCTCGTAAACGGCACGTGGACGGCTTATCAATTACCTGAAATTAATTTCAGATAGCAAACGGCGGATGGGGTGATAACGTGACCAGACCCCGGTGATGCTTTTTGTGCTTTTTGTGTGGCGAGGCGTGTGCGCCCCAAACCAGCTGCATTTCCAAATTAGTGAGTTCTGTCAGCCTTACCATCTTGACAGTTGACAATTTACGGTTGACAATTTACCGTCGACAACTTGTGGTTGACAGTAGTGGATGGTGCGAGCGAATATAGATCGAGGTAGAGATGATGGAGACAGCAGACACGGTAATAGTAGAGATTAAGCAAGTACCGAAGATGGGCCAAGAATGACAAGAGATTGAGAAAAAAAAATGATAGTATTCTCTCTTGGCCCTTGAAATTAGATATTCCAGTAACAATTAGACTTTTTTATTGCTTTTATCAAATAAGGTTATATAAATATTGGAGAATTCCCCGGAATAATACGAACTAAATGGAAATGTAATGATTTTCTGTAGGTTAAAATCATTATTATGACCGCTAATCAGCCAGATACTGGAACAAACATTCGTTTTGATGATGATACTTCAACATCTTCTAAGCAAACTAATAATATAACAGAAAAATCAAAGTCTCGGATTGATTCAAGTGCCAGTTCATTACAAACTAATGAATTTCAACCACATAGATTACCAATTGAACAGGTTGCTAATCACTTTAAAGTAAACGTTGATAATGGGTTCAGTACGGGAGAAGCTGACCAATCAAGATCAACCCACGGTTCCAATACCTTGGGAGAAGATGAAAAAATCTCTTATAGTAAGATCTTGGCCCATCAAGTCTTCAACGCCATGATTTTGGTTTTGATCATTTCAATGGTTATTGCCTTGGCTATTAAAGATTGGATCTCCGGTGGGGTCATTGGGTTTGTCGTTGGGTTAAACATCTTTGTTGGTTTTATTCAAGAATTTAAAGCTGAAAAAACCATGGGGTCTTTACGTTCTTTGAGTTCTCCTACCGCTAGAGTCACTAGAAATGGTGACGATGTTAGTTTACCCGCGGAAGAATTGGTTCCTGGTGATATTGTTCATATCAAGGTTGGGGATACTATCCCAGCAGATTTAAGATTAACTGATTCAATGAATTTGGAAACCGATGAAGCCCTTTTAACCGGGGAATCGTTACCAATTGCTAAAAACCACGAAGAAGTTTACTCGGATTTCTCCACTCCAATCCCAGTTGGGGATCGTTTGAATATGGTTTTCTCCCTGTCGGTGGTTTCTAAAGGTCGTGGTACTGGTATAGCTGTTTCCACCGGGTTAAACACTGAGATTGGGAAAATTGCTCAAAGTCTTCGTTCTGGTAGTGGGATCATTCGTAAAGTTGACAAATCAAATGGTAAACCTAGAAAAAGAGACTACTCAAGAGCCTTTTTTGGAACTTGGAAAGACATCTGTGGCAATATCTTGGGTATTAGCGTGGGGACTCCTTTACAAAGAAAATTATCTTGGTTAGCCATTTTCTTATTTTGGATTGCCGTGATTTTTGCAATCATTGTTATGGGGTCTCAAAAAATGAGAGTTAATAAAGAAGTTGCAATTTATGCTATTTGTGTGGCTCTTTCCATGATTCCCAGTGCTTTGATTGTGGTTTTAACCATTACTATGGCAGTTGGGGCCCAAGTTATGGTGATGAAGAATGTTATTGTTCGTAAATTGGATTCTTTGGAAGCTTTGGGTGGTATTAATGATATTTGTTCTGATAAAACTGGTACTTTAACCCAAGGTAAAATGGTTGCTAAAAAACTTTGGATTCCAACCGTTGGGACTTATGATATTGAAGATACAAATGAACCTTTCAATCCAACTTTAGCTGAATTATCGTTCTCTCCAAATAGTCCTTATTTCATTAAAAATTCCGATGAAGAATTTGATTTTATTCAAATTGATAAATCAAATCATGAAAAATTCCCAAAAAATTTTACTTCCTGGTTGAAAACTGCTACTTTGGCCAACATTGCTACTATTAATCAATCTAAAGATGATGATTCGGGTGAATTGGTTTGGAAAGCTCATGGTGATCCAACCGAAATTGCTATTCAAGTTTTAACTAGTAGAGTTGGCTTTAATCGTGAATCATTTTTAGATAATAATTCGGAATATGTTCATTTGGCTGAGTTCCCCTTCGATTCAAGTATTAAAAGAATGTCTGCTGTTTATAAAGATTCTGAAAAATCTCAAGTTTATGCTAAAGGTGCCGTTGAAAGAGTTTTAGCTAGTTGTACTACTTGGTACGGTAACGAAGAAGAATTAACTGATTCAAATGACTTAATTGAATTAAGTGAAGAAGACGTTAAACAAATTGAAAATAATATGGATTCTCTTTCTCTGCAAGGTTTAAGAGTTTTGGCTTTTGCTACTAAAACTTTACCAAGTGATATCTCTGATGAAGATTTGAAAAATCGTGATTATATTGAAAGTGAATTAACTTTCCAAGGTTTAATTGGTATTTATGATCCTCCAAGAAAAGAAACTGCCGGCTCAGTTAAATTATGTCATAAAGCAGGTATAAATGTTCATATGTTAACTGGTGACCATCCTGCTACTGCTAAAGCAATTGCTCAAGAAGTCGGGATTTTACCTCATAATTTATATCACTATTCTGAAGATGTTGTTCAAGCTATGGTTATGACTGCTAATGAGTTTGATGGTTTAACTGATCAAGAAATTGATGATTTACCAGTTTTACCTTTAGTTATTGCTCGTTGTGCTCCTCAAACTAAAGTTAGAATGATTGATGCTTTACATCGTCGTAAAAAATTTTGTGCAATGACTGGTGATGGGGTTAATGACTCTCCTTCTTTGAAAAAAGCTGATGTTGGTATTGCAATGGGTCTTAATGGTTCAGATGTTGCTAAAGATGCAAGTGATATTGTTTTAACTGATGATAATTTCGCATCTATTTTAAATGCAATTGAAGAAGGTAGAAGAATGTCTGCAAATATTCAAAAATTCGTTTTACAATTATTAGCAGAAAATGTTGCTCAAGCTTTTTATTTAATGATTGGTTTAGCTTTTATTGATGAAACTGGATTTTCAGTTTTCCCTCTTTCTCCAGTTGAAGTTTTATGGATTTTAGTTGTTACTTCATGTTTCCCAGCAATGGGGTTAGGTAGAGAAAAGGGACATGATTTATTATCAAGACCTCCAAATAATAGTATTTTCACAAAGGAAGTTATTACTGATATGATTGTTTATGGTTTCTGGATGGCCTGCTCATGTTTATTATGTTTTGTTGTTATTGTTTTTGGTAAAGGTAATGGTGATTTAGGTGTTGATTGTAATGCAAATAATGCCGATACTGAAATTTGTGATTTAGTTTTCAGAGGTAGATCAGCATCGTTTGCTAATATGACTTGGTGTGCATTGATATTGGCATGGGAATGTATTCATCCATGGAATTCATTATTCTATATGAGACAAGACACTGATAATCCATGGTGGAAACAAACTGCACTTGATTTATGGGACAATCAATTTTTATTTTGGTCAGTTATTGGTGGGTTTGTCACTGTTTTCCCAGTTGTTTATATTCCAGTTATTAACGATAAAGTATTCCTTCATAAAGGTATTGGATATGAATGGGGGGTTGCATTTGCATGCTCTATAATGTTTTTATTAGGAGCAGAATGTTGGAAATGGATTAAGAGAGTCTATAAACGTCGTTATAAGGAAAATGTTAAAAATCCTGAATACGATTTAGAAAGAACTGATCCATTCAAGAAATACGCTTCATTTTCTAGATCTAATACCATTGATCCAGAAATGATCAAATAAGTCATATTTATTTCATATATTTATACATAGTACTAAGAAAAAGACATACAAAAAAAAAAAAAAAAAAACTTTGAAAAAACTAAAAAAACTAAAAAAAAATATATTACACTATTACACTATTATAATTCTAGCTATTTATAAATTTCTAATATAATCATTTCTATACGGTTGAAAATTCACTGTAGTTATCTTAATAATTGATCTTTGACTTCGAATTGTCCACCTAAATGAGAAGTTAGCCCGAATCGTTGTATCACACCCTGTTTGGTATGTTTGTTCACATCAATGACCGAGACCGAAGTATTAAAGGGAACTTTCAAAGATTCCGGATCCAAATATTTGTATAAATCGTAACGTTTAACCCCATAGAGATAGTTGATAAACCCAGTAATGACCCCTCCATGGGTGCAAATACCCACGTTATTATAGTTATTGTGTAAACTTGATTTTATTAATGAATCCCATTCTAATTCAACCCGATGAATAAGGTCGGGAAATTTTTCTCCTAAATTTCTGAAATCTTCCCCGTATTGTGCAATGGCATCCTTTAATAACATACCTTGAACCACTCCCATATTACGTTCCCGTAAATTTTCAGTTAATTTCAAAGGAACATCCGGATGATACGAAAGAATGGGTTTAGTAGTATTCTGACAACGAAGCAAGTCAGAACTGACAAAGAAATCAAATGGTATCGACGATAAGTATTTGGCAACTGTATCAGCTTGATTCTTACCATGGTCATTAAGATCGATATCTAAGTGTCCTTGTAAGACTTTGGTAACATTATGGTCAGTTTGACCGTGTCTTATGATAAAGATACGCACGGTATCAGGATCCTTATTGGCATGTACTTCCACAGTCATGGCTAAAGAAGAAAATTACATGGTTTATCGACCCACGTTAGCTAATCGTATATTAAGAGAAAAATAAATCCAAAAAAAAAACCATTCACGTGATATATAAAGGGTACGGAGGTGGTTTCAGGGCCTTTTATAAAGAAGAAATCCACTTTTAACCCCAATCTTGGTATATAACAATTGAGCTCGGTGGTTCTCGAATTGGGTTGACCAATAGCATTTCTTGCAGTTCAACCGGTCGGCTTCATTGTAAATATACTCAATCAACTTTCTACCGACTCCATTCAATCTGGTGGTTGGTTTGACGAATAAGTCATTTAAATAAAGAGCATCTTCGATGGTCCAGGTATTACGATGAGTTAAGTAATTTGCAAAACCAATGATTTCATTGGTTTCATTGTTGACTGCAACAATCGAATAAACCGGTTCGTCCTGATCGAAAAATCGCTTGAACGTAGTTTGAGTAATCTCATCAGTAATTAAGTGGCTTGATCTATAAAACTCAATATAACCATCCTTGCCAGTCCACATGTCAATCCAAACGGACTTATCCTCCGGCTTAATAGGTCTTATAGTAACGTTCATGCTATAAATGTTGATTCAATTATTGAAGTTTGTCTGGCAGTAAATACAAGTAATCCGCACCTGTTTAAGTATTCATCTAAGTATCCATCTAAGTATCTAGGTTTCTTCAGTGACTCACTTGGCTGAGATTGGAATATCTAAGCGCAGCCCTTTCGGGTGCTAAAGATTAAGCGGGTGAGGTTTCCCTGGCCGTTCTCCTCTGCACGGCTGTAGAATTAGCGGCTCGCAGCACTTCATATATACCTTTCTGGGAGTAATAAACAGCTACCCTTCCATGGGAGGTACGGCTGTTTGTTTGCAACCAATAGAAGCTACAAATACGAAGCTAATAAGGTTCAGCTTACGCAAATGCAATACATAGAAGAGACAATAGGCACTTCCGCCATTCTGATTGGACTTGAGTGAACCAAGAAATTCACAGGAACCAATCAACGAGTAGTGTCATATACAGTAGTTGATTTATCTGATCCATCACCACATTTAAGAGGAGTTTTCCGCTGAAATGCCTTTTTGGCACCCAAAACTACTCTGCTTGAGTCATATGGTTAGTACTTGGCAATAGCCAGTTGGCAAGGCTATTGTTGAAGTTTCTTTTGAGCTCACCGGACCTGTGTTATTTGTTATTTGTAAAAATTGTATATTTTTGGTATAAGTAAGATGTTTCGCTTTATCAGATAGATCTATATTGTCAAATTGTCAAAGTAGAAAAGATGTTAAAAGCACAAGGAGATATTAAGCAATATGAAGGCTCAGATAATTTGAATACCTCGCTGGTCGAGGAAAGACCCTGCGACGAAAAGCACATCAAGATAGACGAATACGAATCCAAGCATTTGAATGAAGCTGAAAAAACTAGAGGTGTTGCCCATATTGAAGCAATTGTTGATACAATGAAAGATGAGAAAAGAGGACGATTGATAACTTGGATCTTCGCTATCTCAATCTTGTTAACCGCTTGGGCTTACGCCTTGGATGGCTCCACTACGTTCAACTATCAGCCGTTCGCTACGTCTTCTTTCAATCGACATTCAATGATTTCGACCGTGGAAATCGCTACTAGAATTATTTCTTCAATTTGTAAACCCTTCTTGGCCAAAATTTCAGATATAACTTCTCGCCCAATCACCTATATAGTAGTGTTGGTATTTTATGTTTTAGGCTATATTATATCTGCTGCTAGTCCAAGTATTACGGCTTTTGTTATTGGAGAAGTCTTTGTGGCAATTGGTGGTTCTGGTTTAACTTTGATGAATTCAATCATTGTTGCTGATTTAACCCCTTTGAAATGGAGAGGTTTTATCAATTCTTTATTAGCCACTCCTTTCATCATCAACTGTTGGTTTGCTGGCTTAATCGTGCAAGACATCACGGGGACTAATTGGCGCTGGGGGTATGGAATGTTTGCCATTATTATCCCGGTTTGTCTTCTACCTGCTATTACAGTCATGTTATGGCTAGATAGAAAGGCAATGAAAACTGGTAAAATCAATATTGCTTCTTGTAAATACGATGTTACCAATGATGTAGCTGATAAAAATTATAAAAAATTATTTAAAGATGGCCTCATTCAAATAGATGCTATGGGATTGGTCTTATTGGGATTTGCATTTTCCCTTTTATTGTTACCATTCTCCCTTTATTCTACTGCGGAAGGTAAATGGCACAATCCCTCCATGATTGCAATGGTTGTCGTTGGTGGAATCTTATTACTCGTATTCACCCTTTATGAAATGTATTTGGCCCCCTTCCCTTGTATGCCAAAACGTATTATTACAAATAGAACTTTTATCTGTGCTGTGATTATTGATTTTATTTACATGTTGGCTGGCTATATTAGAAGTACTTATTTTAGTTCCTATGTCTTGGTAGTTAAGGACTGGTCAGTCAAAAATTGGACTTACTATAATAACACTTTAACTTTATCTTTATGTATATTCGGTGTGGTTGCCGGTGCTATTCAAAGAATTACCCATCGCTATAAAGAATTGCAAATTGCTGGCCTTGCCATCAAATTAATCGGTATGGGATTATTTGTGAAAGCTAAAGGGTTTGATGCAACTACCGCTTTGTTGGTTATGGGTTCGTTATTAGTTGGTATGGGTGGCTCGTTTTCCGTCGTAGGCTCCCGTGTTGCTTCAGAGGCCAGTGTTCCTCACCAAGATTTAGCTCTCGTTATTTCCTTACTCTCTTTATGGAGTTCAGTAGGTGCTGCAATTGGCTCTGCCATCGCTGCTCCAATCTGGAATTCTAAGCTCCCCGATTCCCTTCGTGAATATTTGCCCAAGCCAGTGAATGAAACCTTGGTATCAACTATAGTTGAAAAAGCTACATTCTTAGCTGGATATCCTTATGAGTCTCCGGTAAGAGTCGCGGGAATTAAAGCCTACGGTGATGTTACTAGATACCTTTTTGTCCCTGCCTTGTGTATTGCCTTCATTCCATTGTTTGCTGCTTTCTTCCAAACTGGGTTTTACTTGGGCGATCAGCTCAATGCTGTTGAAGGTGACCAGCCCAAAGAGAACATTGAAGCTTTAAAAACATGGGAAAAGAAACAAGATGTAAAAGGCTTTGACCGTGTTCTTGAATTTTTTAACCGTCCTCTCAAAGGCTGAATACAACGTTCAGGTAATAACTTTTTCACAATAAAAGCCATTGGAATTTCCGTAAAGACTCTCGTAAAATTGCAAAATTATTTTGCAACCAAAAAATCGCGCTCCGGATTTTTGCTTGATCTTTGAAGCATTTGATGAATAAATATTCATTCAGTATAAAGAAGACTAGCTAGATACATAAAAGGTATTTAGCAAACAGATAATTTCCAACCAAATCCCTCACAAACCGTAACCCAGTCATGGCAATATTCACCCTTGGTGTTTCGAAGCCAACATTCTTCCACAATCTTTAAGGCCTTCTTAACGTTTCCGACTTTGCAGAGTGAATGGAGTTTGTTGAACTTCTTTCTCATTTCACAGCGATCTAAATTAGTTACACAACACACACCACATGCTATTAATGTCATGACTAATGAGGTACGAAGATGACTTTCCATAACAAAATCTATTAGTTTGAAAGAATCAAGTAAAATCAATTGGATCTCACTTGATATGGGTTGGATTTGACGAATGTAAATCAATAAATATAGTTTACAGGTATTTCGATATAATTCAAATAATGCTAAATGGTAATCAAGCTCACAAGAATTATTCATCAAGAAATATAGCTGATCTTCATTTGGTGATATCTTCTCTATTTTGCTTAATAGCTCGAAATATATAGAGTCAGCGTTAATATAATGTTTGACCCTTCTGTTATTGACATCTTTTGTAAATTCTTCATCATGTGGTAGAACCTCATCAGCTTGTTTCAATCTCGCATTTAGATCTTCACGACTATGTTTCAACTCTACACTTCCATTGAATATTTCACCCATAAGCAAATAAAGGCCCTGAATACAACCTTGATAAGGATCGATTCCATATTCCAATAAACTGAACTGTTTACTAAAAGCATCTTGATAAGTTAATATTTTACATGTCGTACCAAATCTCAAAGAAACTGATGACATGATGTCCCTATATTGGAAATTTGCGATCAAAAATTTTGCATCATTCGAATAATTAAAATCATGTAAAAATTTCTTAGCTGACCCATACCTTCTAAGTAAGTCTTCAGCTAATTTAAAAGAAACATACCATTTGTTTGTATCACCCAGGAATACTTCCAGCCCGCTATCAATAAGATAATAGGCAAGTAGGACATAGAAACCATATTTATCAAGATTTGGGTTATTTATATACTTTTCTTCGATGATTTCTCTTGCTTTATTTCGATAATAGTTCCGACTTTCGCTATCAGGACCATCCCTTTTGGCCGCACCCCAAGCCGCCAAAGAATTCAGAATTGCTTCTTCAGTAGCCGCCAAAGTAACGTAAGTTTTCAAAAGGTAGTTGGAAGAGTCTGGACAAACACTAATCATTGGAATCACGCGGTATCTGTAGACATCAAATAGCTCAATACCTGACCCATCAAGAAACAACTGGAAATTACTAGATGGCTGAAGATATATTGGGGTGTAAACAGCTTGATTTATATAATTTTCAATAGGTTCACCATTATCATCCAACTCTTCTATGGAATTTAGCGGCTCTTCATTTAGTAAAATATCTTTCAAAAATGGAGAAAATGGTTCATCTAGAGTATAATTTGGAGAATTCTTACTACTAAACAAGCCTTTCAAATCTTCCACTTTACTAAGGCTATGTTCTGATTTTTGATTCAGCTGGACCTCAGTTAAAGAATCATAGCTTAAACTGAGATCCCTTACTATAAGTTTATTTGACAGTTCTTTGGTTTCCGAAGCTGTTGTAGGCTCCCGAACAGGTTCAGTTGTTGAAGATTTAAAACTGGTGGTCTTTGGGTTAAATTGTTGAATAGTCCAAACGCATTCCACCCCCCTCTTCCTACACGACGTACAAGTAGGATGGACTTCATCACACTTCTTCTTCAATTTGAATCGGCAATGTAAACAGCCAGTCTTTGATCTCAGCTTCTTCTTCGAATCAGGTTTATCAACCATGAATTGCCTAACGGAAATCGAAGATTTCGAATTTTCATCTGGCTTTTGGCTTTTTATCACTTTCAAGGAAGTGGCATCAAGTGTCGAAAACATATCTACCAAACTGGCCCGCCAAGTATCGGATTGAATCAAAGATGGTTGAATAAACCTTATCCTTTAGATATTAGTCAATGATAAGAACGTTACATCGGGTAGTGCACCGGTTACAAATCATGGAAAATGAACATTACACAAAAAGCCAACTAACCAAATTAAAACCCATACACCAAATGTACGGATGCATCTTCGCAAAGATTTCGTAAAAATGCAAAAAAAAAACAAAAATTGCAGCAAAAAATAATTTTCAGCCAAAGAAAAAATCCGGGGGAACTTCCAGCTTTGAATTTCTTGTGGGGGAACAAAGTCCTATTATACCTATCCAAAAGGATTGAATCTTGGAAAGAAACCAAACCCATGAAAAGAGGTATAAAGGAGTGAATGGTTTCGTAGAAAACGGATTCAAAAGTATAGGTGAACAAAAATGCCTAGAAGTAAAGTTGAAGAATATAATCAAATGAGGTTAAGGCCTTGTGATGGATGCTCATTGAGAAGGATTAAATGTGATAAAAGATCATTGGAAATGGGGTGTTTGAATTGTGAAACGCATGGTGTCCCATGTACGAATAATCGAATTCGAAAAAGAAGTGGGCCCAAAAGAATTCATAGGAAGACCCGAGAGCGAATACTTGGAATGAGCAAAACAGCCAAAATTGAAACAGAATACTTGAGTGAAGTCCCCATTGAAACTAATGGGAACACCGAACAGTCGAAGTTAAGTCTTGAGGATTTGCTACCCTATTTACAGATATACCAAACATGGTACTATTGTGTTTGGCCAGTGGTGAGTATTGCTCATTTAGTGTCTAAATTGATGACCAAGGTTGACCCAATGGCATTCCATATCAAGCCGGTGATTGACGGAGAAACCTACGTTGAGCTTACAGAAGAAAATAGATCAGAGTATATATTGGCCTGTTCATTGGCCGCAGCCACTTCCACGCAAGTTTCTTTCCTTTCCAGCAATAAAAACGTTACCAATCTTCCTGCAAGTAATAAGCCATCGGTTGAATATGCTAATGAAGCCAAAAGAGTTCGAGAACTATTTGGGTATAGGGAGAATCCCACCCCAGACACTTTACTTGCATCTTTTTTCCTTTACGTTCACTATACAAACCAAGAGCAGGGTGCTAAACAAGCCATAATGCACTTAAGAGACGCTATTTCTGTGTGTCAAATCTTACGATTAGACTCCATGGAAACTTATCAAGAGAAGTACCCGGCGGAAACCCACAAATTACGGAAAATATACTATACTTTGGTAGTGAGTGAACGGTATGTTTGTTTTGAAAAGGGAATACCCATAGTCTTGAAGGCCACGATTCCGTTTCCTTCGTTGAATGACGAAGAGTATCCTGAACTTTTAGAAGGATTTACTGAATTGATCAAGGTTTTTTCGACCCCGGGAGAAGACTTTTTCGATCAAATCACTAACAAGATACATACCTACGACAGAGCCAGCCAGAAAAAGTGGATACTAAAGATACAAGAAAAACTTACTGGGATTCAAATGAGCGACCAAATCAATGACACCCAGAAGCTTAACATCGTATTAACACAGGCGTGGTTACAGAGCTTGGTATGGCTAATTGCCAAAGAATCAAACTTGTTGGGCAGCACCGAGCAAACGTGTCTATCTGTTTCGTTCCCATTGCAAATAGCGCAAGCGTATTTAACAAGAGTGGAAAACATTCCAATCTTTGCTTTTGAATCAAATGGACCGGGTGCTTCTCATAAGTTATTGGAACTAGCCAATTGTTTGGCTTATTCGTTACTGAAGCAGCCGTCGCAAGCGGGGCTTGACGTCTTGCAGTACCTTTTCCAAAGCATCAGCAATAAAATGCATAACAAGTTGCCCATGGCCATGTACAATAGGATAGGTGGGTTTATTTCAAGCCAAAGAGCCACCATCCCACTACCCATAAGTCACGGGGAAGAAAGTAGTCCAGCCAGGGAAGGCAGTCCAGCCAGGGAAGGCAGTCCAGCCAGGGAGGACAGTCCACCCAGAGAAGCCAAACCACCCATAAGCCAGATCCACTCGCCGTTCACCCAGATGTCCATGGCGATCTGTGATGCCCTTTCTCAGGATAACTTTTTGGACTTTTCCCAAGCAAAAGTGGAGTTTGTGAGTCTGACTGACACTGACCTGGAAGACTCCATAGTTTAATATACTACTTACGTACTTACTTACTTACTTACTTGCGTACTTACTTACTTACTTACTTACTTAC